GCATAACATTAGGGTGCCAAGTAAAAATAAGCCTTAGGTTTTTCTGTAAAATTTGTTACCTTTTTCAATGAGGTCACCTCAAACTCCCTTTTATTCTTTAGTCTATTATAAAAGCATATGTTTCTAAGGAAAATGTGTGTATCTGTAGGATTTAAACCAAAAATTTGAAACCAATTTGTGACAACAGTATCATTTCCACCTTCTCAAAGTTAGCACTATTTTTTCAGTTTACTCAATCAGCAAAGCATTCAGATTAAGTATTTGACAGTGACAGTAAAACTTAATATATCAAAACCTTTGCATTTTGTTTCAAAGGGCTTTTCAACTACAATGCAGAATTTCTTTGAAAATAGACATGCAATGTGTATCACAGCATGCTTCTGCTCTGCATGTATACAATACTTGTTTTGGATTACAAAGTGAATTGAATAACCATCCCAAAGTGTTCCAGTGAAGATATGCACATTCATTATTCTGCCTACTAACATTTTTCTTAGACAGTATGCTCATACAATAGTTATGCTGCCATGAGAGCATTGATCCAAAAATCCTTCACCAACTTTGAAGATAATAATACAGGCAACTTAACTGTACTAGTGCTCACAGTTTATTACAACTTCAGCCTTCTCAATGTAAGACAGCCTTTTTTTCCACTATGTGGTCTAATTAACTTCAAGTCCTTATAAACCAATACAACCATTCAACAGCCACATACTACCCATGCAGATTTGAGTTCAAGACTTCTGTACTGTTTAGCCACTGTAAAATATACAAAGACTAGCATTTTAAAAGTGCAAATAAGCAATTTCAAAATCACATAGATTATTCCAACATGACTTGTAATTGCTTGGTGCAAGTGGTGTTTACTTTCCTTTCTACATAATTATGCAAGCACGAGGAAGTCAATAACTGCCTCTGATCACTTGTTCAAACTGGAACATCAGGAAAGAATTTAAGAAAGTAATTCTTCACAATGTAAAAACTAGTTATAGAATAAAACCACCTCTTAATACTTACCTGTTCTCCTGCCTCCATCACAAAAACTATTCTAACAGTACTCTTCCTTTAGAAATCTCTATTTCTGCTGTAATTCAAGTAGTTAACCAGAAAGTGAAAGGTCACTACATTCCACAACTGGTTTCCAGCCTGCCTAAGACCAATGGGATTTTCAAATGACTTGTGCTCAAAGTTGCAAATTAGTGGCTGAAAAGTTTACTAGATATTTTAATTTTGTCTTCAGCCATACTGGCAGAGAATATGAGCAATGGTCCGGCACACATTAAAGGAAAGCACTACGGCATCCATGTGCACCAGTGATCTCTCTGGGTAGCTGGAAAAGTCACTAGGACAGACTACTGAAACAAAAATGTAAATTCAGGATGAATTAAAACCAAACCAAAACAAAAAATCTACCACAAACCACAGGCATAGCTTTCTTAATTTGTTAGCGTGGCAACTTAGAGCAAGCATCCAGGAACATCTAGGATTACCGAAGTATCAACAACCATTAAATAGTTCGTACTTTACAGAATGAAAAACATGAACATGCAAATAGTATCAAAACATTTAAACAATAATTTCAGATCTCTTAATTCACAGAGCATTGCTTTAGCTTCTGGGACATTGATCCCCCCTCCACAGTGGAACTTTTTAACTACAGTGGATACATTACCTTCATTCACATATTTATATATCAAACAAATGCCATGATACATATTAAAAATCTCATGAGCATTTGCAGCAGTTGTTAGTACAAATCATTGGTGGAACCAAGTTTGTGCTCATTTCTCTCTCTAAAAGCAGACACTTTGCTTTCATGGCGATTATTTCCTGATTTTGGAGCTTAAAAAAACCACTCTATAAGAATGCCTTTACATATATTGCTACCTACTTAGTAAGCAGTCATTTGATGTCATGCAATTACTTTTTAAATCAATCAGATTCTACATTCTTCTGACACATACTTAATGCAAAAGGGCCTTATACAAAAGGTGCTAAATTAAACAACAAAAAAACTTCACAACATGCAAGCAATCCTAGCCACTATCTACACAACTGTATTAACTATCAGAGGTAAATCAACACAGGAAAAAGCCTGATTTAGTAGAGCATCACAATAACAAGCACCATACTATTAAGACTTTGAACACTTCTTGTAAGATAGATTTCAAAAGTTTGTTTTTAAGTGGTCTTAGCAGTCCATGGGAACACTACTTAATAGGCTAAAGTTACTGGTTTATACGAGGGTCTTTATTTCCTTGGATTAAGCTGGGTTATTACAAGGAAAGCAGTTATACCAACAGCTTTGGTAGTCTCTTAGCAGGCAGCATACCTCTTTTGTGTCAAAGCATTGCGAAATGCAAGAACACGAGTGACTTACAGTTTTGTGTCAATACAATTGTTGGTGCTGCTCCTAAATATACCTCACTGTGTTTTACAAAGAAAGATCAACATTTTATCCATGCCACACAGGTGGGGGAAAGGAGTCAGTAAAGTTACTTGAGTTGTTCAAGTTAACATAAAGAGACAAAGATACTGACAAGGAATCCAGTCCTAAGGCTCTGTGCACCAGAATCCACAACACTCTGCACTTGAAAGAATGATGAAGGCATAAATCAAAACACAGGCCTCAGTCGTGCAGTCAGAAGCAAGTCTGCAACAGCAGACTCTAAGCAAGACTAGGTCTTAAAGTATTAAATCCTCTATATGCCGAAGTGTCCTTGAGTATCCAAAGAGTGTGCTCTTTGGATAACTTAAAAAATAAATGCACAGAAATATACAGTCATATTTAAACAGTATCTTGATCTAATATAGTCAATGTTACCTTGAAGTGATATAAACAAAGTTAATAATTGTCTTAAGTATTCTCCCTTATTGCTTCTTATTGGACAAGCTTGTATCCTTGTAAGCATAACTAACAAAATACAAATTTAAGGCAGCCAGAAGGACTGATCCACTGCGTAACTCCTATAACCTCAGTTTCATTGTTGCATCTTAGAAATTTCTTTGGAGCCACAACTCTGTTCAAAGTTTCCCTGTAATAGTTAAAGCTTCAAAGTAATGACTTACAGATTAACCTCCCTTAACACTACAGGGCACAATATATAAAGTATTGGAGTTATCTCAAGCATATATAAGTTTGAACACTACATACACACACAAATTGCAAAAATTACAGACTTAAACTTAACACCAGAACACACTGACAGAATTTATTCTAACTTTAAAAATAAATATGCAATAGTGGCACAAACCTTACTGAAGAGTAAATAAGCTGAGAGGGTGATTTTTTTTTTTAATACAGATCTATTAACAGGTTTTTGTATTTGTTACTCTAAATTGAATCATCTGTTATACATTCAATTCAGCCTGAAGTGGATCTGTATCACTGTTTCACAGAACACTTTGCGTTCTACTTGTGATCTGACCTCCTCATGCTCCCAGCTGTCTATCTACATATTAATATGGCTCTAAAACCACAGTATCTGAACCTAATCTCTATGGTAACTGTAAGATTTGTTTACATTAAAAAAGAATATTAGAAACTTATGTAAATTTAACTGTCATTTAAATAAGTGTTTTTCCCTTCTGAGGAAGAAAGCTCCCTATACTGCCTCCTATTTATCTTGCTTCCATCTCCAGTATCTCTCCACCAGGCAATGCGCCACGTTTAGAAAGCTCCCTATCATACAACTTCAACAGCCTGTTGTTGTAAATTCATAAATAGTTTACTTTTAATAAGACAGATGTGTGCAGTATTTTAGATCTTAGCACTTGCTAAAGAAAAATTGTAGGGCAATTAAAACATGATTTTCCAAAAAACTGTCATAAAGTCACCAAAGTAAAAAAAAACATGCTAACCTTTAACAGCTATACAGAAAGACTTTGCTGCTCAGCAACCCAGATCAATCTAGAAATTAAAAGAGTCTATTTCATTTACCATTTCCAGCAGTGACTGTAGTACTGGGTACACATTTTACATAATACTTATTTACAGACAGTAGACAAAAACTCTTATAGTAGAAGAACCCATATACAGACTGCTCTTTTTTATTAACAAATACCAAAGAACTGATGCATCACAGGTTTGTAACAATTGTTTTTTATAAGACTTATAGTATTTTGAAATGAGATTTACTGCTGCTCAGCAGGACCGGGAGCTGAATTACATGGGGGTGATGGTAACACGAACAGCAGTTTGAGCGAGACATAGCAAAATGGTAAAAAAAAACCCTAACACACGCAGCTGTTAAAAACTACTTTTAGGTACATAGTTCTTGGCCACACACAGAAGAAATAATTCTATTCCACCAAAACAATCTTTTTTGCTACTTAGCTTGCATAATATATCAAACATAAATAGTCTAGAAAGGTCTAAGAGAAGAAAAATGCATGACATTTGAGGTACAAGAGTACATTGAGTGAGGCACATGAATACTACACAGCACCGAGAGGAAAATTAGAACCCGTTTGAAAATCTTTCTGCACCTTACAGCAATCATTTCACTGCAGAGAATCACTTACATGCACCCTCCCCAGTCACATCAAGATTACTCATTCAACAAAACTCCTATTGACGAATAGAAAGTAAGTAAATCTACCCTCTATTCAAGTAAACAATGTTGTAGAGCCAGCAAATCCCCCACAACGTTACTTTCTCGAGCAGGGTGACTGTGCCCTGCTCCTCCATGAAGCAAGCTCAGCCCAGGCAGCCATGTCCTTATTCTCCTACAAACAATGTTTCTGAAGGAGAACAGCCCCTGCTCGGGGAACTTACAGCTTCCCCCAGCATAACGCGGTGGAGCGAGGCCCGCCCCACGATCGGCAAACGAGCCAGGCACCGAAACACGGCAGTGGGGGCGAAGCTGCCCGCAGTCTGGATCTGCACCAGCACCGAGCCTCGCACCGGGGTCGGGACAGATGGACTGACAGATAGGACAGCATTTTTCCATGCAACCCTCCCTCCTTTCCCCTTCCAGGCACGCAAGCGAGTGTTTTACCTTCATGATGAGCTCAGGCTGCGGTAAAAGCCTCGATTGTGGCTGAGCGGCCGAGGCTGGACCTGGAATTTAAAACAAAGCGCTAAGGCACCGCACCAGCCGCTCGCACCGGGCGGGGGGAGGGGAGCCAAACATCGGGTGGGGGCGCTGGGCTCCTCCCGAAACTCCCCCTTTCCTACCCCGGATCCCCTCTTCTCCCGCGGCTCACCCCCTTCCCTCTTTCCTCGGCCGCTGTTTCCCCCCGCGGCTCCCACACGCCGCGGCTTCCCCTACACCCGCTGCCACTGACGCCATTTCTGTCAGAGGAGGAGAAACTTGCCACAACAACAACCCACCCCCGGCTGCCGCGGGAGGGGGGAGGCGCCCGGCCGCCTCCCCGGGGCGCTGCGCCCCCTCCTCGGGCACCGAGCGGCGGGAGGGCACCCCCGGGGTCCCAGCGCAGGCAGCACCCCCTCCTCGCCTCACCGCGGGGAGAGGGAGAGCGGAGAGAAGGAGGGAGAGAGGGAGGGAGGCTCTTCCTCCATTGTACGAGGAAGAGTGCCCGTGTGCACGGCGTGGAGCAGGGTGTCGGGAGCAGTCCCCCCCACCCCCGACACACACACGCTTTTGTAGGGGCTGCGGCTCCGGATCGCGGCGGCTCCTCCTCCCTCCGTCTCCCCCCCTAAATAAAGGAAAGCGCTGACTCCGCCGCAGGAGTTTCGGCAGCAACAGCCGCAACTCCCCGGCTCGGCGCAGCGGGTCCGGGCGGGGGGAGGGAGGGAGAGCAGGCAGGAGGCGGCGGAGGAGGGGAAGAAAAGGAAGAAGAAGAAGAAAAGAAGGGAGCGGGGACAGGGAGGGAGGAAGGGAGGGGGGCGGGGAGAAAGGGGCCCGACCTGCTCGGCGGGGACACGGAGCGTGTGTCTGTGTGAGTGTGGAGGAGGGGGCTCCGTCCCTCCCGGCAGAGAGGCTGGAGGAGAAGCCGCCGGTCCCTCCCCCCGGCCCGCCACTGGGTGTTTGGGGTGGGGGGGGGAAGACGAAGCATCGGCGAGTCCCGCCGCAGTCTCTCTACCAGGAGAAAAACAAGCGCCCCCCTCCCTCCCTCGCCGCCGCACGCCCGGCCCCGCGCCCCCACGGGGCCCCTCGCCGCCTCCCCGCCCGCCGCCGGCGGGACACGGGGGCTCCTTCTCCGGCTCGGCGCCCTCACCTTTGTTCCGCGGCGACCGCCCGCCCGCTACTCCCCCGGCCCGAGGCGGGGGGCACGGAAGGCAACTGGGCGAAGGCTCCTCTCAGCTCCGGGCACCCCCGGCCCCGCTCGACGCTGCTGCAGCGGCTCCGCTGGCGGCGGCCCCGCACGGCGGGCGGAGGGGCCGATCCGTCCTGCGCGGCCCCGGCGGCGGTGACTGCACGGCTCAGTCCCCCTCCCCCTCCCGCACCGATGACTGACTGACGGGCGAACGGGAGCGGCCACGCCCCCTTCCCCACCTCCCCCATTGGGCCGTGTCCCGCACGGCCCGCCTACCCCGCGGTCCCATTGGCCTTCGTGTCGGAAATACTGACATCATTCTTCTCCACTTCTATGGAAACTGAGACTCGGCGCCGAGGGGGCTTATGGGGAATGCTGTTCTTGCTTGCTGTTAGCAGCATTTCCGGCAGGCAGCACGGCGCGGCTCGGTGGACTACAACTCCCAGAGTACACCGCGCTCGGGGGGGCGGGACACTCCAGAGACTGCTAAGAGCCGAGGGGGCGGGGCCTGCGCGTGCGCGGGGGGCGCTCGGTGGCGCATTTTCCCCCCAGGAGGGGAAGGTGGCGCCCGGCGGGGCGGAAGGAAGGAGGGGGGCGGCGCTCCGCTCGGGGCTCTGCCGCCGCTAGCGCCGCCACTCCCGGAGCGGCGGCTGCTCAGGGGCGGGGTTCCGACTGCCGGCGGAGGAGGAGACGGCGGCGGCGAGGCGAGGTCGGCTGCCCTGTTAGCTGTGGGGGGCGCTGGGGGCCGTGCGGCGGAGAGAGAGGGGGCGCCCCTCTCGGAGGGGCCGGTCCGAGCCTGGCTGCGGGGCAGCAGGTCCTGCGGCGGCCCCGCCCCGCCCGGGAGGGGCTTGTCGGCTGCCCGGGAAGGGGCCGGGGGAAAGGGGCCGCCGGTAGTGCTGGGCGGTGCCGGCGGTCGCCGGGGCGGGCGGAGCGACTGGCAGAGCGGCCGGGGCCGGGGCTGCGCTGGGCTGGCGGCGGGCGGCGCTTCCCGGCCCTCCCTGGCGGCTGAGCCCGACAGCGCCGATCAGAAAATGGGGGTGGACGGCGGGCGGGGGGAGCGACGCGTCCTCGGCTCTCCATCTCCTAAAATGGCGCTGAAGAGCTGGGCCCGCTCGTCCTGGAGTTCTGGAGGCAGCTGAGGCGGCTGCGCCCGTGTTGAACTCCGAAAAAAATTAACCTTAGTTCCGTCGTTCTGGCTGTGGCGGGAGTTTGGCGGCAGCAGCTTCACGGTCTCTGTGAAATGTGAGTTTTAACCGCGTAACGCGGCGCTCCAGCTGCGGTCGCTGTTTGTGCCGACTCATCGCCTGTCTTCGGGTCAGCCCGCAGCTCAGAGACCCTGCCCGTCTGCGGGCCGGGACTTCGGCGGCCGAGGTATTGCTCTCTGGTTTCTGTAGCATTCGAGCTCCATTTTTCTTGGAAATCCCCATTAAAGCAGTATGCTCGTGTCGTTCTGGCGTTAGTGTTGGAGTGGCGCCTCTGGAAAGCTATTATTTATTCAGCTGCATCTTCGGGGAAAATGTGTGGTGTGCGACTGCCCTTCCACCTGTGGGAAGCTTGCCCGCCCGCTTTAATGCGAGGCGTTGTTCGGAGGCAGCCTGGGAGGGGTCATAAATACGACTCTGCTGATTAGAATGCGAATGTGGACTAGTGTCCCAGTTGCAGTTGGATTAACACTTCTGGTAGTCTCTGTTTGAAACAGTAAATATTCACTATGCTTTTTGTGTATTCCTTTTGAAACTCTCCTCGCTCCTACCTGCTCCCCCTATCTGGGACTTCTTCCCTCCCACTGACTACAATGAAGCCAGTGTCTCAGTGTACCAAGTTCTGTGATGGAGCCGATTTGAGAACTTTCTGAATAGTTCATTTTATACTGGAGCTCTTTGCTTCTTTGATATTTGTCTCTTATTTTCTTTGTAATTGCACTATGACTGCAGGCCCTGAGATGATGATACTTTTTAAAATGCCATCTGTATATTTAACCTGGACTATTTCAGACTATTACATTCCCCCTGTTTGGGAGGAGGGGAAGAAGGGCCTGCAGAGTGGAATGGAGCAGGGTAGTATGAGAAGCTGTTTTGTCCAAAGGCAAACTTTTTCTTGACATTTGGCTTAGAATTAATCATCATTACTCATCAACTTTCATCCTCTCTAGAAAGGTTCTAGACACAGATCACAGCTTCAAGCATAGCTTTAGAGTAGTTCCACATTATGGAGGCCCAGGTTACCATCTTATTCTAGTGTCATGCGTGTTTTCAAAGAGGTCATCAGAGGGAAGGTTTGATGCAATGCAAAAATTATTGTGTGTGGCTGTCCTTTATGCCTATGTGAAGACACTGGGAAATAACTGGAACATTAACTTTGTCATGCATATGAATTGAAATGCAGCAAGTTTGTGTGCTGGTTTAAAAGGTAAAATAGCCTTAACTGCTTTAATCCTATGGATAGGTATAGATGTAATCAATTCTTGCATTTTCACTAACAAAAGGCTTTGCTGTTGCCTTTCATTCATTGTTTATCTGCTGATTTTTACTTTTTGGTGGGAGATGGTGACTTGAGATTTTGTGTGTAAATCAGTAAGGAATCCTTCTCAGTGAAACAGTGTAACTTCCATAACAAATCGGTCAGGCACCTCAGCAGGAAACCCTTTAATAGCAGTCATTTCCCAAGTGTGCTGTATGTGATAATTTTGTGCAAAGAGTAGTAATATTACACATCTGGTATCATGGTATTTTTACAGGCTTTTGTAATGAATTTCATTTACATGTTTCTTTATCAAGTGTCCCTTTTTATGTATAAGTTTGGAGGAGGTTCTGTTCACTGTTTATGTGCCAGTGGATGTGTTAAATGTGTAGCTGTCTGATGAATAATCAAGCTTTTTTTTTTTCTTGGTGGAGATTTACCTAGAATTTCATTTAATGGTAGAATAGTAGTACATAAAATTTTAACTATATTGATTTGAGATTGGTTACTTTTGTTCATTAGATCTTCTTTGCCTTTTATTAAAAGAAAAAAAGAAAGTAAGAACCTCTGTACTTGTGGCAGAAGTACCTCATTTTCTGCTGATATTTAGTATTTCAGGTGAACTCCTATTAGTTTTGTGCAGAAAGATGTACATATTTAGGTTGATGCTGTACAATATTAATGAATTTTGAGTTAGTTGGAGATTCTGAATATTGACTTACTGTCTTACAGATGAGCAAGAGACCTAATTCCCTGAGGAAAGAGAGCTTTAACATTTACTTCTAAGCAAGAGCTTTTATAGGAGAACATTTCCAATCCTAACATCTCTTCTCAGCCTAGCTGGATAGCTATGCACTTTCAATTCTATCACCATCTTTGTGGCTTTTTGACAAATAATAGTCACAGAGGAGTTATTAGGTTGATAGTATATCCTTATAGCTATCTCGGCCAGATTCTTTCTGCTTAAAACATCTGGGGGTAGACTCTGAAAATCTTTGATTTTACCTCCTTGCTGAAGTCCTTTGAGACTTACTCTTTTTATATGTAAGGGTACAGTTTGACAGCTGCCTCACAGTGGTTCAGTTGCAACAACAAGCTGGCACAAAATAAGGAGTCAAGAGTGTCAAATCTGATTTTGATTAGTGTGTGGCCTGACCAGTAGTTGTGCTGGCACATCATGGATAGGATGGAAAGGTTGTACTTCTTATCACAGCATCACTGCCTAGAAAATATGCGAAGCTTTCCCAAAGAGGTGCAGCCTTACAAGCATTTTGTTGACAACTTTATTTGGTTAAATAGCCTTTGTTGCCCCTGAAGTGCCAATACAGTTGATGAACACACAGAGGGAAGCAGATAAAGGAATTGATCTATACCTAAACTTGGAAAATAGTTATTAGCACAGATAATTTCTCCAAGTACAGATTGCTACAAATGCTTGTTGGTGTGGAAGTGGGAATGGGCATAGACAGGAACTGATTGAGCTATACTCTCCCAGCTTCTTGTGCACCTGCTCCCTGGCAGAGCTTGGGAAATTGAAAAGTCCTTCACTTACAGTGAGCATTATTTAGCAACAGTATTCTCACACAGAGTCCAAAACACAGCACTGCAGAAGCTACTAGGAGGAAAAATAGCTCTATTCTAGCCAAAATCAGGACATTAATTTACATAACTATTCACTTGCTCAAGGAGGAAAGAAATAAATCCTTTGCAGGATATTAGCAAAGTATCCAAGAAGTGATGCTGAAGTAGCATGAGACTTTATGCTACTCCTGCAGTTCCTGTCTTAAAACTACATGAGAAGAATTGTTTTGAGTTGCTGCATCTGCAGTGCAGTAAGGAAGGCTAGAGGTGAAAGGGTAGTAAATCTATCACAGAAAACAATCTTTTAAAAAAATGCAGATGGAAATGACCAAAAGTACATGGAATTGAAGCTAATCAATAGAAATTTGTTGAGCTCTGTAGGCCCTGGATCCTAAAAGGTTCTTCATAGGAGTCTGTTACATATATGGTGTATGGAAAAGTGTGAACAGCTGTCTGTATGCTTGATCAGTGGTAGAAAAATTGTATTTTTCTATTTTGACTTATAACAGAAGATTGAGGAATTATATCAAAAGACTGAAGCTAGTTTTCTACTTCTTTAGGTTGTCTTGGTCTGAGGTGTATTTTCTGCTCTTAGACATTACCTCTTCTGGAATGTCTAATGTATGGAGAAAGCATTTAGGGTGATCTAATAATATTAGTCATGTGGGGTTTTGTATGAGTGTCTTTAAAGATTTGCAGTGGAGCTTTATTGTTGTGAATGGTAAAGTTTTAAATACTTCATCACCTAAGCAGTCTATTACATACAAAAAAGTAAACAAAGTCTAGGAGTTGGCTTAAACGTCATGATTAATTCAAGAAAACTCTATTTAACATGTATTATATGTGTTTCCTTGGTAAATGACATCTGGAAACCTTTTATATACTGAAGGTGTCATGCACAAAATTGGAATGTTTGCCCCTAACCTGTAAGTCAGCTGACATTTTAGCTGTATGCATCTACTGTTTACTTCCAAATGTTTAAATCTAAATAGTGTTAACACTTTCTTTAACAGTGAACTACATCTTAGGAAATAAAGAAATGGACGGGATGGATGAAACATCTAAAAGAATCCTAGAGCCATACCAGTATCTGCTTCAACTACCAGGCAAGTTTCTTTGTACTGTGTTGTTTTAAGTATCAAAATTGGTTTTATATCAACTTTTGTCATGGGAAGTTGTCATTCTCTTTCCGTGTCAAACCACGACAGAAGTAGAAGTTTTTCTACTCTTGATGTGTGGATTTAAGAATAATAAAATGTAGTACTTTTCATTGTTTCTCTTGTACTTATTCTTTTCTTCCTTTTATGGAACCACCTTTATTTTTTTGAGACTGGTACAATAGCTCTTGTGTCTGTAGTATTATTGCCACATTAATATTGCAATATTGCAGTTATTCTGTTCTCCAGAGTAGCTGATGTGCTGCTTTTAAAAACTGATAGAGGCAAGTACTGAAGACTTGATCCTTGATCCTCAGGGTTGACAATATTTTATTCTTTAGTTGCTTGCGGTACTAAACTCAGTGGGTTGTGGGTTTGGTTTTGGTTGAGCTGGGAGGGATGTTGTTTGATGGGTTTTTGGTTTGGGTTCTTTGGGAGGTTTTTTTTTTTGTTTGTTTGGCTTTGTTTTGTGTTGGTTTTTGGAGGTTTTCATTAACCTGTTCCTCTCAAGTAATTTATTCCCTTTGGTATGTATAGAGACAGGTGCTCTTATTGCCAATTTCATCTGTCCATATTCATGGCTTGCTTCACCTGTCAGAGGTTCAGCCAGTCCTTGTGTAGTATCAGGTCACCAGCAATACATTCATATGAAGTTTTCAGTCTTGAGCAGTATAGCAGAATTCAGGGGGCATGTATGGATGTGCCCCTTGGAAGCCTCTTCGACTAAACAGATTGCTGTGACTTTTATTTGTACACCTAAAGTGTAAGAAAGACCATACAGGCTATCAAAGTGACTAATTTTGTAAAAATAGTGGTGGAACAACTTTGTCATTGGAGCTACTCATAAATGCCTGCTTGCCCTCTGTCCAGCTTATATTGCATGCTGAAAGAGTTAAGGAAGACAAAAAATGTGGGTAAATAGTAGGGAAATATTTCTGATCAAAATTATATCTGACCAAGGTAGAAGACCTTCTGCCTAGACAAATAGCATTATAAATAACAGGCAGAGTACTAAGTGGCTTTTGCACATCTGCAACAAGAGCTGTATATCTGTAGGGTGGGTCCTCTGAGTCCTAATTCATTATACCTGTGTATAATGAATTTCATTATTAACCTCTACAAATATCCAGGATTTTCTTGCCAACATTAGTGATTTCATTTGACTTGGCAGTTAATACAGAGTTGAAAACTAAGAAAAGGAAAGAATTTGGCAGTTGCATGCCTTTTTAATGCCAGAAGGCTTGTTTCCCATTTCCTCATGTGTATTCCTTTTGGATATGTTGAACTGGGTGGTGGTCTTTCTACAGAACTACCTTGAGAATGAGTCTGTGATATTACAGAGAGCTTTCTAAGCCCTGGTCCTGAAAAAATTTGCTTTCCTCAAACATAATCTTTAAGTTTACTTTTTATTTTATTAGATTATCTCCTTAGCCAAGGAATATTGCAACACCTCTGCATCTTTTGCTGCTAATTATTTTTAAAGCTATTGTAGATACCAGGAAGAAAAGCTCAGCTTCCTGGTAGGAAATTTTTCAGCCCAAAAGTGCTGAAAAATCTTCTATAAGCAAAAGTGCTTGGCTAATAGCTCTTCAGTTACCTTTCACTTTAAATGATGCATCTAGAATATATGTTTAACCTTCCCACCTTGATTCCTGTGGCTAAACTCCTTTACTTTGTGAGTTCAACTGTAATAACTCTCTACTGGTAGCTTTAACACTACACTCACTGGCCGTACAGGTGTTTTATATCCTGTCCTGCATAAGTATCATAAATCTGATAGTCCACTTTACCATGTTGACTTCTTGTTAATTTATTGTATGTTTTGGGGAAGGTGAGAAACAAGATACGCTGCTCTGGTTGATTCAAAAGAGAAAACTTCTCATAAACTAGGCAGGTGAAAGTGGTGTACCTGTGGGATCCTTGTATTGAGTAACAGGTGAAGCAGTGAGGGTTCCTAGTCATAAATTAATCATGTTTGTTGTGTTTGAAACACTGGCTTTGGCTAAGGTCAGCTATGCCAAGTACAGATCATGTTACATGTGTGAATCTTGGAGGAAGTGTGAGTACCAGTGCTCAGTAAGGGTGGAAAAAACAGACTTATAGATGCTGTTTTTACCTAGAGTGTAGCTCAAATGAGATGCCCAAGCTAATATAACAGGCTCTTGTTGAAAGAGGCAGTTTCATTCCATCCTCTTAGCCTCTGGCAGTATTCTCCTGCTGCTTAACTTGTGCTGGTTCTCAATTTGCTAATCAAATTATTAGGTAGTATGATCACCTAACCTATTAAAAACTTGCCTGGTTAATCTCTTGTCTTGTTAGTGAGCAGGCACAATGATAGGAACAAGAAGTTGTTTCTGTGTTGGATCAGTTTGAGCTCTGAGGGGCTTTGCAGAAAGCTTGGCTAAGTGTCAAATATGTACACTATTGCTCTACAGTAGTCCAGTTGCTTATCTTGAAAGACTAGTTAAACTCTCCAAGCAGTTTAGTAAGCTATGGTTGAATGAATGTAGATACATATCAAAGTTTGTTTTCATAAAAGGGGATTGTATAACTGTATTAAGATTGTAGCAGAGAAGGGGAAAAGCCTGGTGATGTTGTCAATAGCATAAGGACACAAATTTTTTTAACTGCTAAGTATTAACCGCTTAGTAGAGGAAATTGATTACTCTGTTTCCCTTTGCTAAAAAAAGACTTAAAATGGTAACAGTCTCAGGGTGATACTTAAGGTAACCTTGTATATTTCTTTGACTTCAAACAGCACTAGGAAAGGGAAGCTGCTAGGCTTAAGTTATGCTTAGTATGGTGCTATTTTAACTGCTAGTAATTAATATTCAGCATGGTATTTAATGTTTTGTCCTTCTTGAGCAGAAATTATTGTTTGGGAGAAGAACATGGATTCTGAAACAGTAACTTTTCTTGTAAAATCTCATTGTAGTGGAGCATTGCCATACTAGTTTTTAGCAATGTTCTGCTTAATCTGTATTTTGTCACTTAGTATCATAAAGTGCAGGACTGACTTTCATAGATTCTGTTGTGGTTTGCCTCAAAAATTACTTAATTCACACACATGGTGAATTTTTTATTTTTGAGAGTCTGAGTTAAGAGCAGTAGCTGATATTGTAGCACTAAGGAATATCTGGAATTTCAGTTATCATAAAACTGATATGGCTAATAGCTTGCTTTTGAAAGAGGCAGATTCCAATCCCATTCATGACTGCGTCTTCCCGTTCTTGTCCTGCTGGTCTTGGCTGCAGTCTTTCCTGGTCTTGTTTAACAAGCTAAACAGTCAAGACTGGCTTTGTTGTTCAGCTTTCTCTGCCGGGTTGTTGAACTTGGTCAGCCTGGTGAAGGAGTTAAGCATCACAGGCTATGATCCCCCACCACTGGCACAACTACGCTTGGCACATCAGAGGCCTCTGCTTGGGCCAAGTTCCTGAAGGAGGCTGCACCTCTCTAGATTGTGAACTACACAGATGCCTAGAGGCACCCACTAGCTGGAATCAAGTGATGTCCCTGCTCCTAAAGGCGTGTAGTTGTGGAAAGCCTGTGTCACCAAGCAAAGGAATGGTGGAAGGGGATCAGCAGGCTTGCACAGCATCATTATAACAAAAATTACAAGATTCCACAGATTCAAGAATCTGAAACCTCCAGGTATATTGACAATGAGGCAGAAATAGTCTCTGCATATCAGGTTGGCAGATGGATACTCCTGCAATGGTGAAGGCTGGTGGCCTCTGGCACCAGGAGAGAGATTCCTGTTCCTTGAACAGATGTGCAGTTGCCAAATAGGTTCAGTGCACTGAAAGAAGACACATGGCTGGAAGCTCTTTATAAGCCTTTTATAACCTAAATGATTCTATAGTTTTTTACAACAAAGCATCAGAACAGCACCTGGGGCAGCAGCAAGTGGTGAGACTGTGAAGATAGTGGAGAGACTTACTCCTATAGGGAATAGAGGCCTCCACATGTGGTTTTGTGTTAGGGAGGTTTGGTGCTTCTGGATACCCCTGATAGGGATGGGAGGAAAGGACTGCCAAGGTGTGTTCCACCTTTAAAATACTTAACCTTACAGCTCTGCTACTTGAACATTAATGGATATAGCAAGAGGGTGCCTGAAGCTTATCAAGCAAGACTATGTGGCCTTTAGAATGAGGGCAAAGGCCACAGGAAGCCAGGTGGATCTTCTCTGTGATCCTCAACCCTCTTCTCACCATCAGGAGGAATAAACAGATACTGCCTGTCTACAGCTAGTTAGTTTCACAGCTCATGCTGATATCAGAGCTTTGGTTCTTATGGCCTTGAGATTTCCTTTGCAGAGCAAGGACTACCAGGAGGAGATAGCATCCACCTATCCAAGACAGGGCAAAAGTAGAGATCATAGTAAAAGAAAATTACTATACACAATCAAGTAAGGAATTAGTGAACTTGCAAATGAAGTGTATAGGCTGATATGACCAAGACACTTAGTAATCTATAGTTCAGATCTGAAGGCATATCATCCTAGCACTCCAACAAGAAAGTACAAACAGAATTTGATAGGGGAAGCTCTTGCTTTCTCTGGGGATCTGCAGGGCTGGATGCTTCTCTGAAGTGCCTTTATACAGATGCATATATTATTGGGAGTAAAAGGGAGGAGGCAGAGATTGGCATGCAACTGTAGGGCAACAATTTTATTGTGGTATAAACACACAGAGTGCTGCAGTGGATTGATGTGGATGGCCTAGGAAGACAATCTGGGGTAGCAAGGAATGGGAGTTGCATTTTATGTGAAGTAACAGTTGAATTGCATGGAGTTTTACCTTCAGTCAGATGAGCCTGTTGAGATAACCATGAGTTAAGTTTCGAGGGCAGATCAATAGGGGTGCCAATATAGTAAGTGTTTGCTACAGACTGCCTAAGCAGGAAGAAGTGGATGAGGCCTTCAGACAACTGCAAAATGCTTCATATTTACAGGTGCTTATGAGAGACTTCAGTTACCTCAAAGGGTGGTAGAAGAAGCATCACAGCAGGACACAGGCAGTCCAGGAGGTTTCTGGAATGAATTGATGACCTCTTGCTAACAGAGGTGACCACGCTGATATAGGAAGGCATTATGCTGGACTTCCACTTAAAAAGAAGGGAGAATTGGTTAGGACTTTAAGACTGGAGGCAACCTTAGTTGCAGTGACCATGGGATAGTGACATTCAGGATTGTGAAAAGGAGCAAGGCACAAATCAGGATCACAACCCTGGACTAGTTAACTCTATTTTGAGCAGAGGAGTTACGCTAGAGAATTCTGTCAATGACCTTAATCAGGCGCAAGTAGCTGCACAGGTTAAAAATGTATGTACCTGCTCTCTGCTTGTTTTTGTGCATTTCACTTATGGTGCTTATAGTGTTCTTGTAGCTGCTTCTAGAGGGGTCTGCCTGGGGACTTTATCCATTTAGTTTTGATCCATCAGAGGATGCAACTAAACGTGCAAGTGAGGTAATACAAGAGCTTTCTTCCTCCAGAAGGGCAATGCCCAATCCTCAGCATCCTCTGCTCACTCTGTACTGATTGTGGAAGATCCACTGCATAAGCTGACTCAGTACATAAAGCTGGCAGAAAGCTAACCTAGCAAAAAGCTGTGTTATCTGTTGGGCTAATGAGTTGAATTAGCTGTAATGGGGGCTAGGTTAATAGTCCCTCTGCTCTTTCCCATGCTGTTCTAGCCCTTTCATGTACCCTCTCTGTAAGTGGGGTGCTGCCTTAAGGGCATAATTTGTGGTTATTTGAATACAGCAAGAGTGAAGCAATACTAACCAGGAGCCTGTCCAGAATGGAGGTCTGTAGTTTTTGGGTCTGTGCCCTATCATAAGAACAAGTGTGTATATAGAGTAAGTTGGCTGATTTTTTTTTTTCCTTTTTTTTTTCCTTTAGATGAGGAGCATCTCATCTGAAGAGAAGGATGGAATGCCCTTAATACACATCTTTAATCTAACTTGCTATTTGTTTGGAGGATAAAGCTTTAACTTTCTTAGCTGGAGAAGGAATTTCTCACTATTTTTCTCACCTTTCCCACCCAGCATTGCTAAGGAGAAAAGCTTTCCATAGTTGCTGTTCGATTTGGGTAATAATTTGGGATCTTAGGCAGATTAAACTAAATGCATTTAGCAGAGCTTTGATAAAAGCTTGGTGCAGTAATGTCTATTATTATAGCTCTATACAGTAGGTAGAGCTTCTAATTTTGGATGATAGAGCAGTGGAACGTGAAGAAACTGGATAATTTGGGCAGTGCTCCTTTTAATTTTGTCCTAGTGTCCCTATATTGTTTTGTCTAGTTTGGGGAGAGGAGGGATGTTGCAAGGAATGGAGTCTCCGCATCCAGGTTTAGAGACCAGTATTGGAGGGTTTTGTCTTTTGCCACCACAGTATGGCTGTAGGCATAAATTGTGCATACAGACAATTGGCTGTACTATCGCATAGACCAGGTAAGACTGACTTCAGAATCAGATAAAACAGCATTTATGTAGCAATAATGTTCCTTTAGAAGAGAAGCAAATCTGCATCTATAAAAGGAAAAATGTTTCCCTATACAGGTAGTGTTTTTTTCCATGAATAGTCAGTGTCTAGGAAATTTTGCTAGTCAGAGTAGACAATTCTAACAACTCAAATGTTGTTTGTACCAAGGAACTGAAGTGGCTTAGTCTTTTGTACATGTTATAATCCATTTAGAGTGCATTCTAGCAGTCAGGTTCCTCATCATGAAATAATGCTTGCTGCTGAACATCCAGCATTCTTTAAGTCTATTTTCTGGGAAACACGTTCAGAAAATCAGGATTAGCTGCCTAGTATAGAAAGAAAAAGTAGGTGTTTTCTGTATCTAAGTAATTTAGAAGAGAATAAACAGCTATAGATAAGATACAGTTCCTTAATGCGATATTATCTCTGACTGGTTTTAGTTTTGAATGTGGTGAAATACTTGTTAATCCTTAACTGGTAAGCCATACAGTTTGGCAAATACTTGTAGCAGTTATTCTCAAGGAGAGACAAAACAATCCTTCTTTCCTGTAGAAAACTGTTAGTGTTTAAAACTGAGCACAGACAACAAAAATGGAGAAAACAGGCCAATGGCAGTGTATGTCCAGGTAAGAATGTATGTTCACATGTGGCAGAAGCAGAGGTCAGAGCTGCTGGGGGAAAAAGAGGACCATTTTGTTAATCTTGTCTAGTAAGGACCAGAAGATGGTGTGAACTGAAGCAGTGGAAATCATTGAGAACTGAGACAAAAAGTGCAGACCTCTGATCCAGGGAGGAAGGTTATCACCTTTGTTGCAGAGCCCAACCCACAAAGCTATTGCTTACTTGGTGGTGGTAAGCAGGGGGAAAGGTGAAAAATTCATAGTCCAGTTTCTCCAGGATCTATCACTGCAAGAGAATTTACCTGTACTTATTATTCTGTTCTGTATGGGCTGGTTACACAGTCATAGAGAAGCCTTAGGGAGCGATTCAAATGTTGACCTTTCTTTGGTGCTAAGGGCAAGATGGAATTATCAACATGAGGACTAATATTGCAGAATATCTCAGTTATGTCTCAGTACATCTTGAGTCAAGTAATATAGGTTCCATGGGTGTCTGTGTTACACTTGCTTTGAAGTTTATTTAAATCGTTTTTCCAAATGTCTGTTTATTTGAGCTGTATATATAGACCTGTTTTTGTAAACCTGTCTTGCAGCTATTCCAAGATATTATACATAGCTGAGCATCTCAAAGTTCAGAGCAGAATGGTCTCAGTGTGGATAGGGGATGACTTTATTTCATATTCAACATGACTAGATGTAAAATGGATATTTGTACATGAAAACTAGCAAATTACCAAAGAAAGTAGACATCAATAATGTATAGGCATAAGGTTAACTTCTACTGAAATTCACTCTGTCATTTAGAAAGTATCTGGATTGAGCAGAACAACTTGTTTTAACACCAAACTTGGTAATTTGGTGTTGTCTTGCCAGGATGACTGCCTGGCTTCAACAAAGTAGATTTTACCAAAGCAGACCAAACCCTATTTGTAGGTAGATTTTTTGGGTGTAAGATAAATATCTGAATTCCTGGAAAGTTCTATTATGTTCTGAATGTTCTGTTCAGATTTTTGTTTAGAGTTATTTAGTAAGTATATTAAATACCACTTTCCTGTTTTAGAAATTTACAGTAGCAAGTCAAGAATAGTACTACAGGAGATAGACCTAAAAATTGAGAGAAATAGCTATTCAACAAATACCCATACTGTCAACTAATAATGAATCATAATTGAAACTTTTTAATCTTAGGCTTAACATGCCTTGCAAACTAGTTGATCTGTACAGGCTACCAATATGGTCAGGACCCCTTACTAATTAAACTGTGAAAACAAAATCTGCAAAGTGTTTAAAACTGAAACTGCTGCCAATTGATGTTTATTCAATGAAGAAACAAGTAATGCACTGATCTGTTTTCCACTTTTGTGTTGTCACACTGATCAGCTTTTTAATTGGATTTCAAATCAGCTGTAGTTCATAAGACAAACTGTTGTGCTTAATAATAAACTCTATTATTTTTATAAATGCCTGTAATATTTTTATTGTAGGTAAGCAAGTGAGAACCAAACTGTCACAGGCCTTTAATCACTGGCTGAATGTTCCAGAAGATAAAATACAGGTACTTATTAATTTTTTTTTTTTGAAATGTTGTTACCTTTCTTCTAAGACCACTGGTAACAGATGATTCTCTTACACAGTGTAAATTATCAGAAATCTTAAATGCATTAATTTCTGAATATAAAGTGAACTTTCAGGAAAACAACTTCAGTGCAAAGCTTTTACTGTGATGCAACACTAAAGTAATTACTTCCATGACTTACTAGAATATTTACTTCTTTCCAAGTGTGTTCAACCTTTGAAGTTGTGGGTAAGCAGCTATCATTGTTACTCGCTTAACATAACTCAGTTATTAACACTGTGTTTTTAATGACTTACAAAAGAAGCTAGACAGTTACCTTGTAGACTTCACAAATAAAGTGTTTGAAAATAAAATCTTGAGATTTTGATTCAAGATTATCAAAGACAGCAATCAAATCAACTTTACAAGCTTAAAACTGAGAGGGATGTATCATATATTCTGCAGTCCTTACTTTTTAATGAGAAGGATTATCTAGAAATTCTCATTGTCTTTTCTCTTGGATAAAGTATGCAAGATGCATGGCTGTGTGTGTAAACACTGGGACTTTTCAAATGAAAAATTATCCTCCTTTTTAGGTTAGACTGCAGTTTTGCTAAACTGCATACAGAGCGTGCAAAGTATTTTCTGTCCAAGGCCATGTAAAGAATCAATATAATTGGTTGTGGTTTTTGACACCCAGCTGGTCCTTTGTTAATTTCATTAATTGTTGGCAGAAGTATCTTTAAAGTTTGTGAAGGAGTAATTTTTAGGGTGGCTTAAAAGTGACTTAAAACTACTTCATAGCTGTCAAGTAGCAAAGTGATTTAAGTGGTTTAAGAGACTGCATTTCATAATCTAGGAACTCCAGGAACTCTTCCATTTTTCAGCCTGTCTGTCTAGCAAAATTTATTCTGTCTTTCAGCTAGACATATCTTACCCTTTGTGCTCAGACAAACATCCACATAAAATAAATAATATAGCAATCTGTGTATTGTATGTATGGGTTTAATCTAATATCACAGATCAGAATGCAGGTTGGAAGAAGCCTCTGGAAGTTATCAAGGACAACCCTGTACTTAAAGCAGAGCTTGCTCTGTAGCTGTTTTAGGCTTCTGGGAGCCCTGTTGAGTTTTGAAAATCTGGTGATGGGGTTTCTGCAGCTTCCCAAGGCCTGTCTTCTCATGCTGAACCCCTTTCATTATGACAAACTTTCCATTATATTCAACTAGGGTTTTTTTTATGTTGCAGTCTGACTGCTGCTGCCTGCCCTTTTGCTGGGCACCGATGACATTGTGGTCCATTTTTGTTTAGTGCTAATAGTAAACTAAAGCTGCAGTGCCTCTGTGTGAACAGAAATTACCAGTTCTGTCACTTTAAACTGATGATTATGTAACTGCTATTGAAAACTTGGACTACTTGTTTTGATTATCTTTATTAAGAAAACCAGTGCTTTAATGTCTCCTTTACCACTTAAGTTGTTTGTAATGGCAGGAAAAAACAAGACCCTGTCTTCTTTTAGTCTTTATCATGACGTAATTATTACAGTTTTTGTGCATTTTAGTACTGATTTTAATAACTAAAGATGGTTGAAATCTGGAGGACCACCTCTGGTCGTCTTTTTGATATCTCCTATAATTCTTGTAAGATGTCCCTTGTGTCTAACATCCTGATTAATTTCCAGCTATTTGTATTACTTTTATTAAAAATCTGAATTCTGGCACTTTTTTTTTCTGGTCCCCTTTTCTGGGATTTTTTTCTTGCCTTAGATTATTTGTCTTTGTGTAGTTTATTTAGATTATACAATTAAGGTATTTTATTGTATAATCTTGTATACAATAAAATACCTTAATTGTATAAACCTTGGTAGTTTATTTTACTGTTAACTGCCACTGTTTCACCTTTTGCCCCAACCAAGTGATCTCTTCCCCCAACACTTACTGAATTTCTAGTTCCCTTTTGGTGCTGCACTGAGACACTTCAACTTGCTGAATTAGAGAGCACTGAGTTTGTCAGGTGAACTTCTTTCTGAGAAGGCACTTAAATGGTCTAGGAAGCGTCAGGCAAATTTTAAAGCTATTGCAGTTAAGGAAGTGGAAGAAACCTGTGTGTTGGACTGACAGTGCAGCAGATCCTGATTAGATAGATGTAGATTGTAAGAAAACAGCACTCTGTACTGGGTCTTCTGCTTTCATTATGGAGACCAGTCTTTTCATTTTCTCAGGCTACTTCCTGATGTCTTCTAAAATAAACTTTTTCTGATATCTGAGCTGTTTCACTCCTTTCCTTCACCTTTGGAGCACTTTTGACACTATCTTAAGTTCACAAGGTAATTTGATAGAAACACAGAGTCAGGAAACACTATTTCCTTTCAACCTTATATATGGAAGCTGAAAGAGGTCATGAAACTGCCAGTGATATAAAATAGGTTAGCAAAAGAAGTACTAGAATAGGCTTATCCAATGAATTCTCAAAACACAGGGAAATGTTCCTGATAGTATTGAGAATGAGATAATGGACCAAAAGTATATTCAAACAAATAGGAGTGTGAAGTTGCCTTCAGTAGGTACTCTATCCTTTGATTTCATGAGTGTTTAAGTAGGCTGTTCTTGCAATCATATCTTGGGAAAGGAATTAAATTCCTGGGGTTTGAGTTTTAATCTTTGGGACAATGCTCACTGAACACCAGGTAGCAAGAAAATGCTTACGGCAAAGTCCTTCTTTTGTTCTACAGCACCCACCAAATAGGACCATATTAGATATTTGGTGCCATTTTATGGTGGCCTTAGTATTTTTTAGCAGTTGTTTTGATTAATTTTGACTGAATGCAATGTTTGTAGTTAAGGAACGTAATTGGTTCATTAGCTTTAAAATCATATCTTAATCAGATGTGTTTTGCAGTGAGTTTATACAGTATGCAGTTTTACATGCTTAAATTTATATCCATTTAAGCAGGTGCTGAATATACCTAGCAGCTGTGAAATAAAAGCAGCATATAGTGTTAAGACTTCATTTTTTGTTGCGTTGTTAAGGTTCCATTCTACTCAAATGTAGTCAGCTACAAGCCTAACGTTGTGAATAGTTTATAGCACACCTCAGGTGGTATGTGATACTGGTCTACCTAGTAACAAGCAGTGTGTAGGAAGTTTTTCAAAAGAAATTGTGGCTGTTGTCTTTCTGCCAAGAACTTTCCAAATTATGTTTGAGAGTATAGTGTGTCCTTTAAGAGCTCAGTACTGAATGTAACCACACAAAGTGTGGGAAAAGAATGACATCTCCACTTGGTTCACAAGAGAAATGTGATAATGGATGATACCTGGCACTCTCAAGAACTAACGTTGGGAGATTTCAGGTTTGTAAATCTAAACATTTCAAAATACTGTGTTTATTTTTTTTTCCCCTAGTCATGTTTCTAATAACAGTTATTCCATGACTCCTAAACAATGGCTTGTTTTAGAACTGTAGCAATAGTGAAGAGGAGTATGCAAGTGGGAGCACTTCAGGGAGTAAGTTAACTTTGAAGCTGAAAACATTACGCGTAAGACTATGTGATCTAGGACTTAGAGCAAACTGGATGGTGAAGAGAAGCATTAATCTGTGCTAACAGTAATGCAAGTTGCCTGAAGAGGAACCTCAGTGATAGAGAATGTAGTTCTTTAAAACATTATTAATTTTAAGTATAGTCTTGCAAAATTCATAGTTAAATTGCAGTGACAGACTTAACAATTTTCTCTTTTTGTAATAGGTTATCATTGACGTGACAGAGATGTTGCACAATGCAAGTCTACTTGTGGATGATATTGAAGATAACTCAAAGCTACGACGGGGCTTTCCAGTGGCGCACAGTATCTATGGAATTCCGTCTGTAATCAACTGTGCTAATTATGTTTATTTTCTTGGCTTAGAGAAAGTTTTAACCCTTGATCATCCAGATGCTGTTAAAGTTTTTACCCGTCAACTTCTGGAACTCCATAAAGGTCAAGGCTTGGATATTTACTGGAGGGATACTTACACCTGTCCTACAGAGGCTGAGTATAAAGCGATGGTACTGCAAAAGACAGGCGGTCTCTTCGGATTAGCTGTAGGCCTCATGCAGCTGTTCTCGAATTATAAAAAAGACTTAAAGCCACTTCTTAACACACTTGGTCTCTTCTTCCAAATAAGAGATGACTATGCCAACTTGCACTCCAAAGAATATAGTGAGAACAAGAGTTTCTGTGAAGACTTAACTGAGGGCAAGTTCTCATTCCCAACCATTCATGCAATTTGGTCAAGACCTGAAAGTACTCAGGTGCAAAACATTTTACGTCAAAGGACAGAGAACATAGATATAAAAAAATACTGTGTACATTACCTTGAAAATGTTGGTTCCTTTGAGTACACTCGGAATACATTGAAAGAGCTTGAATCTGAAGCCTATAAACAAATTGAATCACTTGGGGGAAACCCTGAGCTTGTAGCACTAGTTCAACAGCTGAGCAAAATGTTCAAAGAACCTGAAAATTAAAACATCAACTTCTGGGCGTGGATTAAAACTCTTTTAAAATGGGAAAATAACCAGATGGAGAGCTGTGATAATCAGTCTTATGTAAAACTTTCTCTTGTAGCCATGTTACAGAAATTACTGTTAAAAGTAACTAGTCATTAAGTTTTGAAATATATACCTTATTATCTCTAAAGTCTTAACTGTAACTGCTTACAGTTGATTTTGTTAAAGCAGATGTACTAGAACTAAAACAAGTTTTGAATCTAAATATAGTAGTCTTTACACAATCACAGGCATTATTTCATACCTAAAACTCTCATGCCCCTAACCAGGCAATGATAGGGTGTTGGTTGAAATTCTGTGTTAAATTAAATCAGGTTGACATATGTGTATTATGCATTTTAAACAATGCTCTTATAAACCAAAATTCTTATTGAAAAAAAAAAAAAGGCGCTTGCAAGAACAATGCACATAAAATTGTGTGATATTTCTAAGCTCAACTTGTGAAGATCAGGTGGATCAGTTTACTATGTCCTAGAGTGAATATCCTATCCAGCTTCTGTGGATATTTTCAGGGGAATGTGAATTATGAAAGATGGTATTTCATATGCAAATAAGATATGCTCAGTCTGAAATTGTGACTTGATAAAGATTTTGCAGTACCTTAGAGAAAAGATTTCATCACATCAACAAAGTTAAATTTGCTGCTGATTCCAGCTCTGCAGTAATTTTGCTTACCTGGTTTTAGATTTTGAAATTGTCAAATATTCTGTAGCCAGAAACCTAAATCTGTGCATTAGAGCTCATATATGTAACTGTAAATAGCAACATAATGAGCTGCTAATAGAAATGGAAAGGAATTCACACCAGGTAACTTTAGGACACCATAATTGGTGCAGGTCTCTTTAATCTCTGCTTATAATTGAGGGGCTTCTCCAAGACTTTATTCATAATTCAAATTTAATTCCTGTTCTGAATAGTTGTCTGGAGGCATGTTCTATATCTCTCCAAAGAAACAAGAGCTGTATTTTTTTTCTTAAAACTCAGTATCTTGTTTTACAAGCTTCATTATCAGTATCTTGTTTTACCACTTCAGTTTTGTTAATTGCTTAAATAGAGCTTTAAAATTATAGACATACCAAAACAGAACTGAGACTGAAAGCAAGATTTAGGGGTGGGGCTAAGTAACAAAGTTCTCTGCTCATATATATATATAGCTATATATATGTCTATGTATGTGTGTGTATGTATATATAAATATATATATATAAATGTTAATAAAAGGTAAGCAGAGATGTTTGTTTTTTTTCTTGCCTGGGCTGCTTTTAATCAGGTTCAGTTCCCTTAGTATTCACAGGTATATTAAACTTTGACTTGAAGTAGTAAGGTAATGGTTTGGATCAAAGGTAGGACTGGTGCTATAAGCTGTGGTGCTAGCTCAAGCATGCTCTGAAATGGACAGAGGTGCTTGGCTTCTGATGGCTAAAGGATAGTTTTATGTAGGTGTTCATTTACTGTACCTGGAAAACAGGGAAAGCTATGATCTCAGCCCACTGAGAAAACTAGCTGAAGAAGGTTGCTCTAATGTCTTCCCTGGGCAGCCTTAATATCTTTCTGAAAGTGATCAAACATGACAAAATTGAGGATGACTGCTTTCAGTCTGAAATATTATGTAGTTATGGATGATAGCCTGTTCTTTTTATCTGCATGCTGAGGAGAAATCTTTGTCTGATTAGACACTGAATAATAGGCTTTTCATTGAATGGACCTAGTTACCAGGACTGAATAGCTTAACATTGGTGAAAGGTGTCTTTAATGTTAATGAAAAATAATTGTAATTCCTTTTTCATAACTTGCAGTGCTTAGTAAGCCTGTAATTTTTTAATGTGTTATGTGAAAACAGTATCTACAACAAATTACATTTATTTTGTGCCATGTCTTGGAAGTTTCTAAGCACTGTTGTAGTTAATGTTGAATAGGGGAAAGCACTGAAAAAAATATTGTTGTCAGGAGAATCTCCTAGTCTTACTGTGAAATGTATCCTTGTGCCTGTTAGGATATTGTAACTGCGATACAATGCAAAGTGCACTTAGTGCCATTTCATTTCTGTTCTGTTGCTGGATGTAAGCAGTTCTGTGTAATCAAACTTCCATAATGAAGTAGCTTTTCTTACTGTTTGTATAAAGCTTTTCTACCATCTGAGATTTCTGCTATGTCATTGCTCATTTTTTTCTCTGGCAATTCACCCCAGTATTTATTCTAATGCTATATCCTGTAGCATGTGCCTTCATTAGGAGTAGGTACATGGATGTTTTCCAGTTGCAGACCATTTAAACCACAAATGGGTAAGAAGGGAACAGCTGTTCCAGCTTTGTCTTCCCAGGTTACAAGAGTCTGTGCAGCTCTCTCTTGCTCTTCTGCCTTCAAGGTGTTTGATGTATACAAAGCATATACTGAGGGCATATCTGGAAAGGCCCACAAGTAGAGCATTGTTGCTCTTAGGTTAGGATAAACAGGATTGTGAGAGCTTTTCTTGATGTATTCAGGAGTCCGAAGAGGCTGGGATATTTCCCTTTCATCTGTTAAGCTGGTAGAGCATCTGTAAATACAAAATGCCAGTAGTAATGATGTCCCTTAGTCAAGGTAGATTTTGTATTTGGTGCCATAAGATCAGTCTGTGCATGCTCATCAATATCCTCCAATGTTATTACTGGTACTGGCTCCTGAGGCTAAACAGTGTTAAGAAAAACCCTTCTTTAAAGCAGCATGGGAGTTCTTGTGACTGCACAGTTAGTTGTGCGAGTGCCCCTCTGTTGCTATGCCTCCCACAACACGGGGAGTAGGGATTTTTCCTGATCTTCATAAAATATGGCAATCTGAGTTACAAGTGGAGATGCCCAGAGGGAAACAAAGGGGATGATCGTTTCAACGTCAGTCCTTTTGAGCCAGAATGGTTCTCCTTATCTTCTTACTGTTGCAGCAAGTTCTACTTTGATCAGGTTCCTGGGGGTTTAGTTCTTGCAGCTCATATTAAGAGAAATGCAAATACTCATCCATCTGGAGTATTCCCCACTACCTCAGTATGTTTTCTGATTTTATGCTTCCTTGGATGTAAATGAGTGCTGTCACTTGTCTTAGAGTAGTCAGCCACTGGATGGGACATCTGTCTTTGCTTTTTCATAGGCTTATGTTTACCCTGTCAATTATTATGAAAATTGCATAGTTTCAATATGTTCCTGAGGAGGTAGCTTTCTCCTCTCCTTTTGAACTCAGGTTGTTCAGGTACCCACTCAGAGCAACTTTGTATATATATGTGTGTGTATATGTATGTGTGTAGCCAGTTGTTGATACAAACAATATAGAAATGTTAATGGGAAAGAAACTGTTGGTTGCTCTGTTTCTGCTTTTTTGTTAGTCTGGCTGCATGTGCAATGGTGATTTCCTATATTAATGACTGTTTTCCTCGGTTATTGTTAAAATGCCAGGTATAACGGTATAAAAATGGGTTTGTGAGGGGGTTTGCATTTCTCATGGAAAACTGGTTTGAGCTTTAATATGCCTTTATCACTGAATTGGGCCAGGCTTTTATCCATGTGGAAGAGCCATATGGGCATCTATTGCTCTTCTTTGTCCTATCTTCATCATTTTGCATTTCAGATTTGGTATTTACTATGCTCTTTGTATTATTTGCTCAGTACTTTCACTGTAATTCTTCTTTCAGCTGTATTTCTATTCTGCTGTTAATGCCAAGCATACATAATATCAACAAACTCGGTTTTGATCCTGGACAAACATACTAGTCTGGGTATACTTTTGAAATGTTGAATCTTGGCTCATCATTTGCCTTCACGAAAGTAATCCAAGAATAATCCAAGATTTTCTGCAGCCTCAAAATGCCTGAAAGTTTGGGTTTTTTTGTTTTTGTTTTTTTTCCAGGAAGCTAAAGCTGTAATATCTTATGACCATAAATTATTTTTGTCTCATGTAAGTTGAGCTACTTTCCTTGCCCTGCCTGTTTGCTTTTAAGATCCATTTTGCTTTGGTGGTAATGCCTGTTACGTCTTTTTATGAATAAACTTAACTCTCTAGCCCTGAGGGAGAGAAGTTAATTTTTGTCCAGGTTAATGAATTATCCCACTCAGCAAGAGTCTGATGAATGCCAGAGCTGGCAGGTGGACAAAGGGCCAAGGAAAGGATTTCAGTGAATTAAGAGAACTCATTTTTGCCTTCTGATGTCTCATGTAATTTTATCTTCTTTTACAGAATTTACTTGACTTTGTTAGGAAAAGCTAAAGTGTGTGGCTAGTTTCTCTGAGCTTCTGAAATAGACTGTGAGAGATACTTAAGTTAAAAATTATTTATGTAACTTACGTATATCATCTAAAGATTTTATTAAAGGTACAGATAAAACAGAGTACATTGTTTCATTACTTTATTTTTTCTCTTAACAATTTTTCTGTTCTCAAAGTCAGGGAAACATAATCTGCCATATGCATATTTGAGTTGATTGCTACCTCACATTAACATTCTTCCTGAAAAAAATTTTATCATAGCTGAGCATCAGCGTTCAACCTTTTCTGAAGTACTTTAAAATTATTTCAGAGGCACCTTGTTGAGGTGTAGCTAGGAATAATCCATGATTCATTAACTCACTTCAAGCATACAATCTGAAAAACTTCTAATAAAGATGCAGGTTAAACCACATTAACCCTGATAGTGTTCCTCACCTGTATACCCTATGGAACAAGTACAATCTCAATTAACCTACTGAAAAGGTATTTACTGATTATCTCTATTTAGTACAGCATAGAGAACCACGGGAGATACACCAAGAAGGCCTAATGTGACACTTCCAGGGAAAGCATTACACAACCTCAATGAATTTGTGTAGAAGACTAACTCTGAGGTGAAGGGAAATTGTAGATAATTATCTGCTTTTGAGCTCCAGGAAAATGCTCTACTCATTGGTATATGAATTGCATGCTGACAGTTAAGCAGCTGCATCATCTCTTGTGCACAGTAGGTTATTTTCACTCTCTTCATAAATGCTGCAGTTGCTATTTTATATAGTGTGAGCTACTTAATCACTCAGTGATTACTGAAGTCTGTAAAATGGCAAATTCATTCATTTTGTTTATGTATTTTGAAATACATAAAGCCTTTCCTATTCTCTTGCAATCTGTTGTTATTCCACAGAGAACTTCTGTTGGCTGAGAGAGACATAACCTTGCACTGACTGAAGTTATTAAAACCAGGCTGACACCAAGCCTGTGTGAACAGATGAGAGGGGGAAAAAGATTTGCAAGGATAAAAGCCCTAAGTTCTTTAAAAGTAGAATTTCCTATAATTTCAGAGTTACTATATGAAGCATGGAACCAACTCAAACAGTTTTTCTGTGGTTTTGACTGAAGAACCTGCAGCTGCTTTCTTTTTTGGGTGGGATGGAATGTACAGGTCAAAGTAAAAGCCATACAGAGGAATTGTCATTGCTACTCACAGAAGTGTAAAAACTGTGCTATAAACCTAATCTTACATTTTACACCAACCAGCATGAATGTTCAATAAATTCAGAAGCTAAATCCATTTTTACTTAACTGCTTATGAAATGCTGAAGTTGTAATTTGTGTTAATGTGAAAAATGCTAAATTGGTCTAGTTGTTTGATTGGCATTGGGACTGTCCTGTTTCTTTTCAAGTACAGATCATGAACTATGGCTATTTGTTGATTACAACACTGAAGCAAGAAGTGCAAAGAAATTGAAAGGATAAGCAGTATGTTAATGCTATTCTCATTATCATTTTAGAAATACTAAATGCATAAATTTGACAACATGCATGTAGGTTGTGAGAATGGCTGGATTACCTGTCAAACTAGGGCTAAAACAGGGGCAACTGGGGTCTGAAAGATCACAATAACTATTTTTTTGTTTTCAGCACCTTTCCTGTCAGGCAGTATACAAAGTGGAAGATGCTCTCAGCTTTGACCTTGGGAACAGTGGAGGAGTGAAAAAAGGAGAGCAAGAGGCCTTACTGCTCTCTCTTGCACTACTGTCCACGTAGCTTCAGCTGCATAGTTTGAAACTGGAATAGATCGTTCCAAGAGTGCCCTCTGTGGGAAATGAGTGGGCTTAGGAACCCAGATGAGATGGCAGTGCAACCAAAGATGTGGAAGAAGGACTAGGGTCTTTTCCCCCCCAATTCTATTAGTTGGCCTGAAATAACACATAACCTATGGCAAGGGAGGACTATGAAATGAAGGCAGCGAGTTATTTGCTGGATTGTCCCCTTGGGGAGTGGCTGCTTTATACAAGACAGTAAAGCACACCCTCAAAGCCTGTTACTTGAAGCTGCATGCTATCAGCATACTAAAGAATATACACATTATCCAGATTGTTTTGGTTGGAATGTATTAGTGTTACCAAATGCCCATACCCGATTTCTGTGGTCAGTATCGCAGCCTCAGAGTAAAGAGTACTAATATGCTGCCTGCCAAAAGAACGGACAGATTTAATGCAATGGAGCCATAGGACTGAAAGAGCTGCTTGATTATTTACCGTCATGATTGTTCCAGTCCTGGTGGTGCGAACATTCAAATGATATTGTTTGCATTAAGGTGTTATGAGACGTTGAATTATGAAACACAAGAGATTAAAAAAGGTGAAAAACATCAATTAGGATACTTTGATTTTCATAAACGCAGCTCTTCCATCTTGCCATACCTATCCCTGTCAAACTGAAGAGCTCTTACAAAATTTCTGTTCCTCACCAACTGGTACTAGAACACAGTCAGGTCTTTCATTTTTTGCTGTATAAACTTCGGTTTTCCTGGATCCCCCCGGGAATATTTTCCCTAAATACTGAATGTTGAAATAAATGCAGCAGCAAATGTAGCAGCGTACAGATGAGTACAAGCGTTTGGGAGTCCCCGTGTTCCGGGGGTGCTCCGGGCGAGCTTTACTGCTCGGCGGGTCGCCCACGTTCTCCTCGGCCGCTGCTCACCGGAGAGCGCTCCCGCCTTGAGTTACGGACTCGGAACCATCTCCTGCTCAGTGTCGGTCCACCGGTGCCGCAGGGCTTTTCCCACCGCTCGCTGCTTTACAGCACGGCAGCGCTTCCCCGGGGCATCTTTCCCGTCTCCGGGCTGCCCGCCGCAAGCCTAGGGAGGCGCAATTCCCGGGGGCGGGCGGGACACCCCGGACCGCCCCGCGGGCCCGGCTCGCCCAATCAGAGCGCCCGCCTCTCATCCCGCGGCATTCTGGGAGCTGTGGTCCGGGGCCGGCAATCCCCCGCGGCGAGGCCGCCTCGATGAACGGCATTTCCCAGAGAGCTCCACGGCGGCGGCGGTGCCGCGGGCCGGTTTGCCCCTGCGGGCGGTGACTTGGGCAGGTAGAAGGCGGGGCGGGCCAATAGCGGGCCAGGGTAGGGCGGGCCCGGGGCTCGCGGCCAATCGGAGCGCTCCGCTGCCGCGCGGCGCGGGCGGAAGTGCGGCAGCGGAGCGGCCCCGCCGGTGCGTGCGCTGCGGCCGCGGCCCCGCGCGGGCTGGGAGCGGCCCACAGGAGCCGGCGCGGGGAGCGGGGAGCGCTCGGGGCAGCGCCGGGCGGGGCCCGCCGGGCGGCAAAAGGGCGGCTCCAGGTAGGGGCGTCGTGAGAGCAGCGGCTTCCGCGTGTGTTCAGGGCGCTTCTGCTGTCCCGGCAGGTCGGGGAGCAGCCCGGGCTCCGGCGGCCCGGGATGGCCGCTGCGGTGCCTCCCGATGCGCTGGGTCGGCGGGTCGCCTGTGGCACCGACTATGGGACCGTGCGCTATGTGGGCAGCGTGTCTCCTACTGCAGGTAAGCGCCGCAAAAGTAATCATCTTCACATTTTATGCTTGTTCTCGAGAGTTACTCATGTTCTTCTTAATTAACACTGCCGAGTAAACGAGGCAATTTACAGTTTGATTTTTCCTCATTGTTCTTGTGTAAATATGGTGACTTCTAATCTGCGTAAGTTGTTAGATTTTTTTTTAAGTCAGAGTTGTCAAAAGGGTGTAAGAAGAATGTTACAGTCTTTTTCCTGATCTCTGTTCTGGAATAGTCAGGGAAGGTAAGCGCAGCAGGTCGCCAGACCAGGTGCTCCTTCGATAACATATTGTCTCGGGTTTGTGTGACAAGGCTCTGAGAGTGGCAGGGGCTACAGGGGTGGCATCTGCCAGAAGCTTCCTCTGTGTCCAACAGAGCCACTGCCAGCCGGCTCCAGGGTGGACCTGCCACTGCTCAAGGCTGAGCCCATCAGCAATGGTAGTTGCACCTTTGTGAAACCATCTTTAAGGGGAAGGAAAAGAGACTCTTTGCACCAAGGTAGCTGTGGCCAGAGAAGGGCTGAGAGAGAATATGCGAGAGGAACAGCCCTGCAGACGCAAAGGTCAGTGAAGAAGGAAGGGAAAGAAGTGCTCCACACTCCAGAAAGGAGATTCCCCTGCAGATCTACTGAGACAGGCTGTGTCCTGGCAGCCCAGGGGGGTCAGCAGGGGTTCAGAGATGCCCATGGAGGAGACACGCACAGGTGGATGCCTGAAAGGAAGTAGTGACTACACCCAGAGCAGGCTCCTGGTAGACCTGAATGATAAGCCCTGCTGGAGCGGGTTCCTCTTAGGTCTTATGTCCTGGAGCAGTTTTTTTTCTGAAGGAGTACACCCCATGAAAAAAAGGGTTCCACACTGGAGCAGTTCCAAAGGAAGTATACTGTAGCCTGTAGGGAGGAGTTACGTTGGACCAGTCCGTGGAGGGCTGTCTTCTACGGGAGGAACCTGCACTGAAGCAGGGGAAGGGCCTCCCCTCTTTGAGGAGGAAGCAGCAGAAATAAGGTGTGATGAACTGACTGTAACCCCTCTTCTCCATCTCTGTACCTCTCATGGGGAGGAGGTAGAGCCCAGGAAGGAGGGAGAGCTGAGGTGGGGGTATTTTTAAGATTTGTTTTATTTCTCATTAGGCTACTCCAATTCTAGTTGGTAATAAATTCAGTTACTTTCCCCAATTTAAGTCTGTTTTGCCCATGACAGTAATCAGTGGGTGATCTCTCCCTGGCCTAGTCTCACCTCATGAGCCTTTTGTTGTATTTTTTCTCCCCTGTTCAACTGAGGAGGGGAGTGACAGAGTGGCTTTGAGTGGGCACCTGGTATCTAGCCTGGCTCAACCCACTATACATGTTCAAATTTATGGGAAGATTCCTGATTCTTGGAAGAAGACTAGCTTTGCATACAGTTCTAGAAAAGGCAAGAAGGATGACCAGGAACTGCAGAGTCCTTAGCCTCAGTTCAGTTTCTGGAAAGATCACATTCCTTGGAATCCATTTCCAAGCCTGTGAAGGACAAGATGGTAGTTGGAAGCATTTGTTACTTGTAAATAAGAAGTTGTGCTTGGCAATTGTCATTACTTTCTATGATGATATGACTGTGAATGTGGATAAAGGGAAAATAAGTCAATATTCCTTGACTTAAATAAATCTTTGAATAATGTCTTTGTAAATAATTTTATTTGGAAGCTGAAGAAATACAAGGTAGGTGAATGGACCATTAAATAAATTGAAATCTACCAAGTGAAAAAGTAACTAATGACTTGATATCTGGTAATGAGTGAGTACTACGAAAGTAAATGCTGAGGTGTGTATTGTTTTACGTATTCCTCAGTGACTTGGGTGATGAGCAGCGTTCACCCTCAAATGGCTGCTGTGATACAAGACAGAATTGCTGTCCAGATCAAGCTTTATGAACTTTTGGTTTGAACCCAAGAGATTCAAGGAGGATAAATTTCCATATGTAGTAGGGACCAGGAAGGGCTAGTGACTCACAGAGTCTGTTGTAAAGGGCTTGGAGTTAAGTTGGATACTGTTATGAATATGAGCCAACAGAGATCACCTGTAACAAACAAAGATACATGTTGTACTGGGTTACCTTAGAGGGAGGTGATGAACATGGCCTGCAAGTTAAAGGAAGCTGTTATCCCTCTCTGGGGGCAGGGGTTCTTGACAAGGTTACACTTGGAGTAATGTATCTGCTGTGGAACTATCCAGTTCAAGAGGGATGCAGATAAGCTTGAGAGGATCTCAAAGATCTCTTTTGAGGAGTCTTGGAGGACTGCCAGGGTGGTTAAGGGCACAGACCATACACGTGCTGTGAAGAGGTTGAGTGATCTGGGCTTGGTTAATGTGGTGAAGAGAAGAAAAAGTGCCATCCAATGGCTTCCTGCAGCTGTTTGACAGGTGGTTACAAAGATGGCAGAGCCCAACTCTTCTTACAAGTACTAGATTATACAATAAAGGATAGTGGCCACAGCAGGAAAACCTTTTCCATTACAATGCAGCACTGGAAAGTTCACCAGATGTGTTGTAACCTTTCTCTCCTTGGACATTTTTAAGGACTGGCTAGGTAACAAATTACCTGACTGACTTCTTTTAGTGCAAGTGATAAAGCTAAATTTTTTTAGCTTTGAGAGAGAAGGTTAGGCTAAGTGAGCTGCAGAGGTTCTTTCCAGCTGTGATTTCTATGGATATGATGCTGTAAATTTGAAAGAGTATCAACCATTTTTTTTTCAGGAATTTGGCTGGGCGTGGAATGGGATGATCCTCAGAGGGGAAAGCATGATGGCAGCTATGAAGGAACACAGTATTTTAAGTGCAGGTGAGTTGATTCATAGCATTGGCATGTCATATGTGGTGATGAGATGCTCATGGGAAAAGGCCCTTTGGCAATATTTAGGGCAAACCCTTCAGTTGGTCAGTATTAAAAAGATCATAATTCTGAGTGCTTTGACTAGCTAACTATAGAGCCTCCTGCATTGATATTTATCCAGTTACAGGTATTCAGGTATAGGAAATATACAAGAACTATACAAGTCATGTGTCAGAGGTATGTTATAAAATGAGATTTTTTGATGTTATTGTTAGTAGGTTTTTAGACCTTTTACTTTAGTTAGGAAATCAATATTTCCTAGTGACTTTCATGAGGTAATTCTGAACTGAAATATTGGTCTATATTAAGTGTCTCAAATACAGTGTATATTTGAATTTAAGCTGACTTATATGTATCTCGTTACGGGAAAATGCCAAGTTCCTGTTAATGATTTGGGTTATATATGTATCGCTAAGGAATTGTTAAATATATTCATTGGATTTACTACATGCAAAACATAGTGCAGCCGTGTGGGGTTTTAAAATATATGCATGCGTTACTTTTAAGTGAAAGGATTTGAGCACTTAACAAGTTTGAGATTGCAGAATACAGGACTCATACGATGGATATTAACTGCAGCAAGTTGTTGATTTCTATGTCAGGACACATGCAACAGCTAGAAGTTTGTAAGCTAAATAGTAACTGGATGACTTCATGGAAGAAAGTCATCAATGGCTCTTAAATACTACAAACTGCTAGCTCAGTAAGTTCCTGAGCATAGAAGAGGTGAAGGATGGGAGAACAAAATCTGTTCTTCAGAAAAATAAGTAAAGTAGAAAATACTGACCTGTGAGGACTGGGTATTTTTTTCCCCTTGTATCAAATAATAATAAAACAAGGCTTGAGGAGGCTAAACACACTTAATCCAAGAAAAAAATCAACATCGCTGGATGTTCTGTTTCAGCTAAAGAATTGGAAATTATGGTTTTATCACAACCATGTCTTTTAAATTAATATATTAGTGGAAGTTGCTTCCTAAATACTTTTAATTGAAACAGTTTCCAAATTGAAGCTAGCTATGTTCTGCTGTAGGAGAAAAAAATAGAAATAATTGTCTGACCATTCCAAATCCTTCTGGACAGAAAAAGCAATTGAACATTTCATTCATGTTTTCCAGAAACTCAACTGCTTTACATCTTTGTGTATATGATATTTATATGCATGTGTATAGACTCTTGGGTTTTTAGCAACCATTAGTATGCTTCCAGGAGATGAGATCTCAGATAGTAACCTTAATTCTTGATGTAAAAATCAATGTTTTGGGTGAAGCTCAATACACATAACAAATGTAAATGTTGTGGTCTTTAAACATGTTGTTCTTTCAATACCTGTTCTTTGTACTCTGCTATTTTCCAATCAGAAGAGGTCCTGCTGGAGTCTAAGAGAATACACAGTTCCAGCAGTCCACCAAGACACACAAACATAACTTCCTGTGTGCAGACACATTTATAGTTCTTGTATGGACTGTGAAAATGTAGGCAAACTTAAGTAAAAAATACTTTATTTTAGCTAAAGGATGCTAAAAACAAAACCCTCCCACATCTTAAAACATCACCTGTTTAGTACTGCTGATTAGGAGGGAATAATGTTTCTTTATAGATGAATATACACATCTAAAAAAAAACCCTGTATTTTTTCCACTTACACCTTATCATGAGTATCCTTTCCTACAAGCCTACTTTGCTCACTCCTTGAATTCTGATAAGCAGAAGCAGCTTGTACTGCAAACAAATGCAGTGAAAGGACATTTTGAAATTGTTTTTAAGGCAATTTTGAAAATTTCAGCTTTTAAAAATGTATCTTTCAGAGTGACATTTTAAAATAAGACCATAAGAGGAAAATAAAACTGATTTTGAGATTCTCGTTACCAGAGAATCTTCTTTCTTTTCAAGTCCTTACTTGAAACAGTAGGTCTGCTTACAGCTCTGTGATCTCTACAGTAGGTTTTTTTAAAATATAACCTAAACTTTTATTTTCATGGCAGTACATTTATCTGGGTCATGATGTGGTGATAATTGAACTTCTTAAGAATATGAATACCAAGGAACAAAACAGCCATACTTCAAATTATGCTGACATCATGAGCATGTTCAACAACCCTGTATCAGCTAGAAATGGCAATGCACAATCTAGTGGTGTTTTTGTGTTCCATTTTTTCCTGATAATAGGTTCTTGTTTCTTAATAACTGAGGAAGCTATTTTAGCTGTCAGTTGCAGTAGTGTATAACGTAATTAAATTATACATAAAATTATATTATAATATTATACATTAAATTATATTATAAATTCTGCAGTCCTTCAAGAGAGATGAGGAGTTATCAAGCCTTAAAACAGTGTTAAAATTTGTATCTAGCTTTTGAAACATGAGTGTGCTTTCCTATAGGTTCCTGTTCCACAGATCCACTCAGACATTTGTATGTGTGTGTTCCCCTGGGAAATGTGGGTTACAAGCTTCCTCCCCTAGTTGTCCTATATTTGTTGCATGATGATCTGCTCCATGATGATTCAAGATTATCTACTCCATGAAAGATCTGTTTATATTAAATTAGGCTATTTTTTCTTCAAGGGTGACACATTCACCTCCCGGAATATCCACCTAGAGCACAAACAAACTCTTCAAATACAGGAAAAATATAATTTTAGTGTCCAGGAAGAAAAAATTATTTCCATTTTTCAAAGGCAGAAAGCATTCCTAAGATTCCTGAGAAGGTTTTAGTTAAGAAGTTTTGTTCATCAGAAACTTGTGCTCTTTGCTGCCAATAGAAATGTGTTGAAGCAAAAGGTTGTCCCTAACCACTGCTCCAACATGTACTGTGCACCAGCAGAACCCCAAGATAGCATCTAAAACTGCAGATGTCTTGTTTTTTGAAAGCACACAGTCAAGTTTCATGTCTGTTTAACTAAGGTAAACTTTCAAGAACTTCAAGTACTTGCTCATGCTTGCAAAACTTCTGCTGTTCAGTGAGGAATTTGATACACCATGGCAGGTTAGTGTTAGGTGTCATTTGTAAGCATTGTTTGGTGCCATGGCCTCTTTCTAAGACTTAAAGGATTTTCTTCCTGCAGGGTGTAGATTCTTCTAATATAAATTTTGTCTGTTGAATACCTTCCCCTATAACGAAGAGACCTGTTCAGATCTGTGTAGAAAAGACGTGCATGGATTCAAACAGCTCCGCTTTGTGACACCTTATGAGCCTTGTAGTGCATTTGCTGCAGTCATGATGGTAATTGCCTGGAGTTGATCATTGCAAATAGACAGTGCTGGGCAAAGAAGCCCTTTGATCCATGTTTACTGCCTAGGCTGATAAAGCTAACATCTCTCTCCGTGGCTCAGAGCTTCTGCAGTCAGACAGCTCAAGTGTGTAGCTGTTAGGATTTATGTAGTCCTGTGTTGTTCTTCAGTACTGAGAAGTGTGTGTGTGTGTGATAATTCCCAAGCATATGAAGAGCCATCGTGTACCTGTAATGATGAGCAGTGCCATGACTGTGTTTTACATTAGCAAAGAATGATGCCAAATGTCCTCCTTATTCAGTGGAAGCTGACAGCTAATCTAAATTTTAATGAATATCCTTGAAGTGCCCTGGGCATGCCAACAGATGGGTTGTATGCTTCAGGCTACTGAATCATGAATAGGAAGTGTCCTGGAAGATTATTTCTAAGACTGGGGTCAACCTCGATTTTAAAAGCCAGTAGGAAGTGTCAGTATTAACTAGAGCCAGTCACTTGCCAGAGCCCCACTTGAGCATATTCCACATTTTCTGCTTAAGAAAATTGGGTCATATCTTCTACCACTCTATTTCCATACAGTGTTTTGTTCTGCTTGCAAGGCAATTTGCATACATGAGAGCGAAATCCCCGTTCTTAGACTTCTGAGTGTTCATCTTAAGTCAGGTTGATCAGTAATCCATAGGTTCTTCCATAACACAATATGCATGCTGGATGATTCTTTGGATTAGGATTTATCTGTTTAGTTCCCAGTTATGGAGACTGATGGCTAATAGGTGCATTATTGCATTAGTTCAGGTGCTGTGCATTATTTGTTTGATATGTACATGCAGCTTTACAGTTCATATGTCCTAATGTAAAATTGAATACAGGCAGTGTGAGTTACAGTGACCTCTCTTCTTGAATGCACAATAATTTTGCCTGAAAATAGGTTCCTATTGCAGTTTCCATTCCTGCCTTTTGTGACAATTCCTGATAAAGTAGATCAAACAAATAGATTAAAACTGAAAAAGAAGCTTAGGCTGTGGAATGGATTTAAATATACATTAGGTAATTTATAATAGTTAAGTGCAGAGTAATGGGAGGTGAGAGCAACAGGAGAGAGAAAACCTATGATCTTGTGGTCATGACAGAAAGAAAAGGGTCTTGAGAGATAAATACATTAAAATTTTTTTATAGCCTTATATGACAAGGGACAGGGTAGCTAGGTTCCTTTGCTTTTTTTTTTTTGTTTGTTTGTTTGTTTGTTTTTCCTCCATAAGGATAGAACTGGTTCCTGCATGGAAAATGAAGAAGGAGATGCCAATAGAAGTGGTAACCTGAGAGGACAGAAGTGGTCTTAGGAATGGATATGGTGATGGAGAGACCAAAGGTCTTGGCCATGATAGGGATAAATTACATGAGAGGAGGAATGCAGAAGTGAGGTTCTAGATTAGCTCTGGTGAGAGGGTTGAGGAGAGCAGAACTGTTGAGTGTAGAGGGATGTTGATGAGAAAATCATGGTGATGGGAAATTGGACAGTTGTTGTCAGAATTAACTTACATCACGACCTAGTGTGCATTGCAGACAGACCAGACTACAAGGATTTTTCCCAAGCAGAATCCAGTACTAGCTGCCATCTGTGAAGCTGTTTGATTTAATTAAATGCAGAAGTGATATATTTGCAGGCAAGAAATGTTTTAGTTCAGGTCATAAAAAGGTAATTTACTGTTTTAAGAAAAGGTATTAAGAAAGCGTCACATCATTTTTACATTTGACGAAGTTTAATATTTAAATCAGTCAAGTGTTTCCAAGCTGTGAAGAATTTCAAAGGAATGAAAGAAATTACTTAAGAGAAGGTTACTGGATTAAAAATGTATTGAAAATGCTTATCAAACACGAAAAGTTCATACCAGATTTACATTCTTTAGGAGTTTGCTTTTCTGCTTCTTTTGTAATCATTGCACTCTAATCATAGTCATTACAAAACTAGACTGATAATATCTTGAAAGTAAGTAATACTGAATTTCTACCTAGGTCCTTCTTTAGGATATGAGAGTGGAAAGGCTAATGAATGAAACTGGCACAGGAATTTCCCAGCACTGATTTTTTAACAAAAATGTGAATACATGGTCCCCAAGCTATTCCATATACCTGTAATCAGTCCACAAGATTTGAGGCCTTTAGTTACTGGCTTTTTAATGAGAATTTTGAACTTTTAGCATTGGTGGTTTATATGATGGTTTGCTAATTAGACACTTAATGCTTACATGCTGTTTTGAGAAGTTTTGTTTACATAAGTGATGTCTTCCTTCTGTGCACTTTCCTACCAAAGCCTCCTGTCTTCTCAGTTTGATGGTAGACAGATATTCATAGCTACCAATTTTCTTCCTGATGTTTTCTGGCTGATGCTCCTATCAGATCCTCATCTGCGCTGTGACACCATTCCCATAACTTGTCTCTCCTAGTTCTTTTCTGATACTGTGTTTCCTTGCTAACTTTGCTAGAAAATGTTAAAGTAATTGTATGGCAAGTCATGGGAATGCAACAAAGTTTTTTTCAGTGCTCAAGAGAAAACAAGAAACTTCTTTGGACTGTCTTGAACACACATTATTGGTTGGATATTTTTGTTGAATATTTGAAATTGCTGCCAAGTTGGTATCAGGATTTTTTGAAGTTTGTGTTTGTATAAGAGTTCTGAGTGCTACAATTTGTATGTTGTGTCATTTGTGTGATAGAATTACTAGTGAATTGTACAAGTCAAATACAGTGTTGCAATCACTATTCTGAGTGTTTCTCAGGCTTTGGTAAAACTCCCAGCACATTTATTATATAATTTAGGTAACTTTGTCTATCCATAGGTAGAAACTTATTTTTCTGGAGAACCTGACTTCATAATGAGTTTGGAAATAACAGAGCAGTTATTTTTAATAATGGCACTGACACTGTAATTTTGATGTGTAGGTACATTTTGGGGAGCTGGTGCTCCACTTCTCATGGTATCTCACTATGTGAACTTCTATCAAGTACTGTCAAAGATACTCCGAAAGTCTTACCTGGCTGGCTGGGAACACTGATGTTTACAATTAGCCTGTAGATTGCCTTTTGACTGTTTTGGTTCTCTGTACTTCTGTTTAAAGTAGTAATTAATTAGTCAGTCATTGTTAAGATAACTTTTCCTGGCTGCTCTATTCTAGGCATCCTAAGGGAGGATCATTCATCCGGCCAAACAAGGCAAATTTTGGAGTAGATTTTCTTACTGCAGTAAAGGATCGGTATGGATTGAACGATAAGCAAGATGCTCAGTGTGGGACAGGGGATACAGTCGTGTTTGGAACGAAGACTGTGGAATTTGTTGGCATGGATTCTGTTGCAGAACAGCAAAGGCAAGTGTAATATATGAAAATCTGAGATACATTATTAGTGACTGATCAGTCAAGTAGTATTTCAACTGTAAGGAAGCAACTCCTATGTATATAAAATTGTTGTGTCTAAAAGCCAGCCAGCCTGCACTGTGGTGGAAGAAAAAAGAAAGAAATCTTCCGATTGTGGATTCATAATTTACGGGTTTTACAAATAGGAACTGGGATTATGCCATGTTTGAGTGCTAACAATCCTCATTCTGGTTTCATAAAGTAGCAGATGATGATGTCTCATGAGAAATGAGAGATAAATTATCATGATATTGGCAGTCACCATACACATGCATGGTCTTTTAAAAATAGATATATTTTAATGTTTTCTTAATATTTTATAGTGTTTTTTAGTCTTTGTTTACTCATATCACAAATGACTTTGCAACCAAGAGAGGGAAGACAAAGTCACTGTACTGCTAGTGAAAGAGTTTTTCAATCAGTTGATTTCATGTTCATGTGCCTGGAAGGGTAAAAAGGAAGTAACTAATTGATGTGTAATAAATTGCAGTTCTAATGGCCTCCAGCAGAAGAGATGTATTAGTTCAGTAGGTGGCAGCCTCCTTCTGAGCTTATATTCCACAACTATTCTCCTTGTCTCCCAAAGCATACTAAGCAGTCAAAAATAATTTTGATAAGTTATATGAAGACTGCCCAAATAACTCTGAACCTCTTGCAAAACATGCACAAAACCTTTTTAACTTGGCATCTCTAATTAAATTCCAATTTGTACAGATATATTTAATCTTTTTTACCACTCTTTATTTCAGTTGGATGAGGGTTTTTGGGGGGTGTGGGAATTGTGGTTCAACCAGACTTATTTTGTAGTAGTGATGTAAAGGCAAAAAATAGAGATGTGTCTGTTTTCAAGTGCGAATGACACTGCAGTGTAGTAATTTGCACATTGCTAATTCCAAAGGAGATACACAGGAAAAGGATGTTGTGTACTTGTAAAAACCAGGCATTTATGTAACATACATATTTCTCTTTGAAAATTACCTGACAGAATGTTCTTTCTCATGTAGACAGCTGAACAAACTGGTGGATATCTCAGTGCGTGAGTGTGCAGTGAGCCATGCTGCTCAGGAAGAGGAAATCAGCAGAACGTGTGCCAGTATCCTTTTTTTGCTATACTGCATGATGCCACAAATAAAGTACATACTTTAGCATTCCAAGTGTTCACGTCAATGAATGATACTTGTATCCTTTTATTTAAAAAAAAAAATAAACCTGAAGTTTATATTTAAAAGTTTAATGCAATTTTATAAAGTTAAAAAGCCAGACGTCTACAGTTTTTGAAAGGGAATGCAAATTGTACATAAAAATAGAAGTATAGTCATAGGTTGTTACTGTGACTGCAGTTTCAGAAGGCTTCAGCAGTGTTTTTTTAAAGAGTTCTCTAGAATAGATAACCTTACTGAAATAGAACTGGTATGTTCTGTTGACACCAGAGGTTTCCAATATATAACAAATAATGTGTTTAGTACACTGCATCCAGTGGCAGTGTTACAAGACTACAAAGCAGTTATTATTTGTTAATTTTTAAGGACTTGTAAGAGTTCCTGTCAGTATAGAAACTAATCCAATTGAGAATTTGTATGGTTAAGCTCTTTTATAAAACTATAAGCCATTTCCATATCACAAATCAAAATAAAATTTGCTGTAACTGAGCAGTACCATCCCTTAGTGTAATCTATTTCTCTTTGATTCAAAGCAAAACTCTAATTCTGAAAAAAAAAGCTCAGTTTTGAGATAAGTTTATTTTTCTTAACAAGAAATTTCAGATATGAGGCATATAAACCTATCAAAAAATCTGATATCATCTTGGGAGACAGTAATAGCTATTGCTTCTCAAGTTCAAAATCTGGAAACACTTAATGTCAGGTATAAATATTCATATTTAAGTTTCTCTTCCTTTGAGGTAGGAACAAAAACCATCAGGCTCAGGAATCAGATTTCTAAATGTAACTGGATACAACAAGAGTAATTCTAATGGGAGTTAAGGGTTTTTTTGTTTTTTTTAAATCGTATTCTTAAGCAACTGCTTAAGTTGTGAGCTATATTTTTCTGACATTTGTGTTCAAGAAAAGACTAGAACCCTAGGAGTTCAGCTTCTGTGTAAAATTAAGTACTGGAAAACATTTTCTTCAAAGTTTTAAGACTTGATCTTTGTTTTTTATTATTCTTGATACATTCTGGCTGCTCAGTCAGGCTTGCATTTAGGAGCCCACTTTTGTTTAGCCTACCATGTCTTGATGCTAAACTTAATTATCCATAATGCTTTGAATAAACCTTAATTATCCCAAACATTAGTCTATTTCTGTCCTACAATGATGCTGGTAAGAAACTGTTAAGACCATGGTGACAGATCTAGGGAAAATCTCTTGTACAATGATGACATTGGAAAAGGAAGGAGGATGTTGTTAAATAAAGCTACAGTTCTATTGGAACAAGAAAATTCATAAAATAATTTCAAAATAAAGAACATTTCTAGTATACACCTATACACTGTATTTGGCACATGCTACAATAATCTTCTGGTGTGAACCAACACAGTGTATTAGGTAGCAGCCTAAATCGCCAGGTTTTTTATTTCATCTTATCATTAGTGTGGCAAAAATGTATTTTTAAAATAGCTGCAGGTGTTCAATTTTCTTCAATATTTAGCAATGAACAGCTGTTTGCAACCTGGGTGCTATTTGAAAATCTAACTTTGCCTAGAGTATATAATGATTTATTGCATGAGAATACAGAGAAATTTAATTCACCCAGAATAATTTTTTCAGTTTTTCATTGTTGAGAAGTGTACTCTAGACTGAAGGGTTTTCAGAAGTTATTTGTGAAAAAAATGGAAAACAAAATGAGATTGATGCTGGGATTTGATGCTTACCACTGCAAACTGATATAGTCTGAATCAGTTTTTTATTGTTTTGACCTTCTGTTTGCTTTAAAAAAGGAAGGTAAATCTATTACTGATTTTTTTTTTCATGCATGGAATGTTGGAAGAAGAATAAAAGTGATTAACCATCAACCAGCTCTCTATGTGGAAATTTTACTCATAAGTATGTAATTATAAACTACACTGAGAGATTTTTATGAGAATATGCAGGTAGATTAGGCCTTGAAACTTCTCTTTCAGGGTGAATAATGAAAGCTGATTTGAAGACTGCAGATTTGAGAATCTTACTATTTTCTTCTTTTTAGTGATACTTAGCTATTGAGAGTAGATTTTACATACTTTTGTTTTGCTGGGGTCTGGACAGTCATTTAGGCTCCTCATTTTCAGTCAAAACTAAGGATTTTAAGCCCAAGCTCTGGCTTTGTTTCATTGAATATTAATGAAAATAATTTTTTTCATGTTCAAAACTTAGTGAAAGAGAAAGAGGCCACAGAGGAATAAATATGCATTCTTGAATAAATATGCATTTCTGAAGCAGGAAAGTAAATTAGGAAAGAGCATGTTTGAATGTAATTAGAAATATATTTTATTATATTTTAAAATATGTGACAGTTTGGCAGTGATTTTAGTTTTTGGAGGGTATAAATTTCTTTAATGTGTAGCTCCAAATGAATGACTTAAATAAAAGTGATTATTTATTATGCAAATAATTTTTTTTTATGCAGTGAAAACAAAATGCGATTTCCATCTACATCAACTTTTACATCCAGTGCATTTTCAAACTTGAAGATTCTGGCACTTAATCAAACTGAAATAACATGGACAGAGGTAATAGCCTTTCCTGGTTTAAAAAAAAAAATTAATGTCATTAGGTTTCTGAGGCAAGGAAAGCACAATAAACATTTGTGCACTGTATTTTTCTACTGAAATCAAATCATCCTTAGAAAAGGTGCTGTGGGGTAACTGTGTTAGTTACATATTGACTTATGTACTTCCTACATAATGAAGGAAGCAATGTTTGGATAGGAGTCTAATAAGAAACATTTTACTTCATCTACATCTGTAAATTGCCAAATTAAAAGAAAGCAGTTGGAGTACAATATATCTTCGTGGCCAAAAGTTTTTCTAAGTGAAAACTTCTTGGTTCCTGGTAGCTGTTGAAGATTTATATGTGCTCTGCATGCAATAGAACAAATGCAAATGGAAAGAAAATGTTTCCTTATGATGAGAAATTCTTGTTTTGGCATTACTTTGCATCATATTCTTGAACCATATGATGCCTGGTTATTGGCAGCACAGAGCAGAGGAAAAACAAAGCTCTGACTTGTTTCAGGCACTGAAACATTAGGGCACACTTACGTGACTCTTTCCTGGTATGACGTCTTATTAGGAAGGAAGTCCTGCTGTCAGCTATAGTTAGCAATGGGCCTTTTTGCAGAGATGGGGCTTAGGATGTGCATCTCAGTGTCATGTCACTTATAATAGCTTCTAAATTCCAAACTGTTATTTGGATTTCTCAGGGTCAGATTTTATAGTACTGCATTGTAAAATTACATGACTTTTCAGATTTCAGCTGCCGGCTGCTATCCAGTAAAAGAGCACTTAACAAAACTGGGGTTTGAGTAGAAAGAAGTTTCTTCATTCTCTTGTCTTGCAGCAGGACTAGAGGGAGGTCACTGCTGTGTTTTTGTTTAGTGTCCATTCACTGTGCTCTTAAAACTGCCTGTGGGATTTATGGCAGGCCAGTTGATAATCCTTCCATAGTAGCAGCAATATGAATGGTGAAGGGAATGGAAGAATTAAGTGGCTACAAACATTTTAAATGTCACCTAGTGCTCATCATATCTGCATTGTGGTGTTTAAAATGTTGGCACCTGCCAGCGGCTGTCCTTCATCCCTCCATGGGGTGACTGAAAGGCTGGTTGGAGCCATGGCTGCAGATCAGAGTTCTCCAGGGCTAAATTGCAGTGAGAAAGTCCCAGCTTAGAGCAATTTTAAATGATGCAGCTTTTGAATTTATTGTTTTGAAACTCTGCTTTAGCTGATGATTTGTCATTGGCCATAAAGACATCTTTGGTTCCAAAATCTGTTTTATAAATTTGTTCCAATTCATTCCCTATAAGTTGGGAGACACAAGCCTGTGTTTGAAAGTGGTGTTCCAGGGCAGCCAAACAAAAGGGGAAAAATAAAGCCATGTGCCTGACATCAGTACTCTGTGAACAAACCACTTGAAAATGTCACTGCTTAAGCTCTGAGGGGAGTTACTTAAAAAGTCAACTTCCAAATAGAAAATAGTAATGAATATAATCCAAGCAAATGAGAAATACATTTAAATTATCGATGGGGATATAAGCAAAAGTCTTAAAGAGTGTTTTAATTAAAACCATTTAACGGTGAACAGCATTTCAAAATTACTTGCTGTTATATGTAAGAATATATGGCATTGGGATAGTTATACTTGGATGGTTTTTTTAGTTTGTTCCTCTGTTTTGAAGTATTTTTCACAGGAGAGGGACATGCTTAATTTATGTAGTGATACATAGCTCCCCATTCACATGCCTTGAGCATCAGTTTTCAGAAAGAATTACTTCATTAGTATATGATTTGCATATATCTAAATACTTCTGAGATTACCAGTATATCAGTAAAAGAGCTTATTACTGTAGAATTGTTGATCGATTGTTCAAAACAAAACATATAACTTTAAAGGGGGAAAAATGTCTTGTAAAATAACTTAAAGTTAGCAGCCATTTACTTAGAAATTGAATTAATGCATTTGATTGTAATGACTTCATATTTATGGCTCCAAATCTTTTCTTTCTTATTCAGCATTTAAACCATAATGTTATATTTGTGATTCTGTTTTCAAATTAAGATTCTGTATTTATAATATAATCTACTATTATACAGGGTAAAAGAAAAATCTGGGTTAGAACAGAAGTGCAGGATCATGCTTGTGACACTAGCAAGTAGCAGCAGGTAGTTGGGAAAAATTCTAGGCAAAGGGTAAGCACATGGTAAGAGCTTCTTAGAACTGCAATTCTGCAGTTCTGCTTCTTAGAACTGCAATAATCTGCAATTGTGTGGCTTTGTGAGCTCAACTATATACCTCTAATTAATATTTGTGGATATTTTTGTTTCATGAGTTATCTAACTGTATTAAGAACCCATTCGCAAATTTTGCTGTGCATATCATTTAACATAAATTCAATCTTTTTTGGGTTCTGATATCACTGCCTGGTAATTTCATTTAGTAAATCCCAATGTTTTATATGAAAGTAACTGAGAACAGCTATTCTCCGTTTCATGGTTTTAATTCTTGTATAGCTTCTTTGTGCCTTTCCCAATTATATTATTTGCTTCTTGAGATAAACAGACTAAAGATACAGGAACATCATGAACTGACATGGTGACAATTGTTTCTTGTTCTCATCTTTATTTCTTTTGCAATAGCTCTTGCATTTCCATTCTTCTGATTTTGAGCATCAGTGGCTCTCTTCTGGGTATTTGTTACCTCATCAGCTGTTCACAATGAGGGCTCATTCTTTCCTGAGGGCTAATTCAGTGTCAGATCTGTGAACTTTTGTTTCTGAGAAGCTGTTTTAAGCAGTAGCTGGAAATTTAGCAATTTGAGTTTTTTGGAACTGTGTTGTAACATAGCATTTGGCAATTTTCTAGTCATATTGAAAAATCTTGAGATATTTCAGTTTTGTGCATTTTTTTTATTCCATCCATCCATCTATCCCAGTGCTGGGCTGTTGTGGGGCAGTTACTTGAACATGTACCTCATTTCTCTTGACTCTGCAGGTTTCTTGTCATGCTTCATCACCAGTGGATAACTATTTTGATCCATCTTGTTGACATGGGGAAACACTATCAGATTAAAGAGATGAAATATCAGTGTTCCCTGCTCTTGATTTGGAAGAGGAAAAGTTGTTACATCTGAGTTTGTGTATTACAGATATGACAGCAGGTTGATTTTTAATCTTTTGGGGTGTAAAGCAGTTGAGCTCCAAATCATAGGTTGCCTCTTGAGGAGATCTCAGTATTTACCCTTGACGTGGTGTCTATTACGAGTCAGTTACATAGATCTGCAGCTGGATGGATTAATGCTGTGTAAAGTAAAATAGCATCTTTTATGCAATTTCAGGGCATAAGATCTAAAATAAAAGTATCTTTGTTCATTTTGTAGCCCTTTCTGAATTAATTTATTTTCTTTAGAGAGCTTGCAAACTTCAAAATGTGTTGAATTCATGCAATTCTTGGCTTTTATTGGGTTATAGATTGGCACAGTCCCAAGATAAAAAAGGCTTCAAGCTCTGAAAAATTAACATATTTAAAATATTCTGTCAGATGTGTTATGTCTATTAGCTATACACATAGGTTCTGGAACTTCTGCACATGTAGAGTTTGTACAGCCTGTTCCTCACCTCATCATAGGGAATACCTGTTCACTTCACCTCAGTGAATAAATTAATTCAGTTTCCAGGTCATTAATTCAGTTTGCAGTCTCAGCTGTGGGTGTGGCCACAAGCCTGAGACTTACAGTCCTGTGACTGCAGAACCCCTTTGATGTCATCTGTGCTGGTAGAGCTGGGCACAGGAGAGCCATATGGAAGAAAGGGAAGACTAAGAAATCTTTAATAATTGTTCCTCTGGCTTGGGAAGCCATAGCTTTTTCTGAACACATTCAAAGCAAATTTGCATGAAGTATAATTTCTGAAATATTCCCATCTTTTTTTATATTAAATAAAGTTTTGCTCTTAGGTTCTTCTTTGTGCTCAAGGATGGCCAGTACTTGAAGAGTTGTACCTTTCTTCTAATAGTATTACAGTTTTGGAAAGGTGAGTAACATGAGTCAGTTGTTAGCCACTGGTGTACCACAAAGTTACACAGCACATACTGTTACATTCCTGTAACATTTACATTACTACGACAATAATTGATGCAAATTTCACATGATGTATTTCAGAACATTTATAGATGTGCACAATTGTGTGCATGCAATTATATACTTGGGAAAATAATGTTTTCATTGGCCAGTAACTTCAAATATTCTGGTTTTGTGTTTGTTTATCCCGATGCATCAGGCCTGATAACGTCCTGCAGACCCTGAAGTTGTTAGACCTTTCAGACAACCAGCTACTGGATGGAAATCAGCTGCATCTCATAGCACAGCTCCCCAGGTAGCTGTAAACAAATTTGCTGGAAGTTCTTTGTCCTAGATATTCATCTCTGTAGTCCTTGTTGTCTGAAATATGATAGTATTGATGTTGCATGAAAGATTCATGAGATCTTGAAATAGAGGCATTTTGCCCTCCTGAGGAGAGTAACTGCATTATTCAGTTGAGCTATTTTAATATAATCTTGTTTTTGTTGTATAATAACACATTCTTCAGCTGTATGTTATTAGGTTTTCATTATACACTTATGAAATGAAAGTGATTTACCACATTTTGCTAATTTGCAGAATTATCATCTTTCCCTGTACACCAAAACAGCAGCCATAATTTTCAATAGCCACAAGCTATTTTTAAAAATTTCATTTAGAAAATCATACATTTTAAATTCAGGAGCCATTCTGAAAGCTTGAAATTGTTGCACTTACTCACTGAAAATTTTATTGCCTGAACACGGCTGAAGTCTGGGTACTGCCTGTGAGGCTGCCTTTCATTTGTTAGTGGTGCTGCACCATACCAAAAGCCGCAGATCTCTATTAAAGAAAAAAAATTAGGTTTTATCTATTTGCAAAAAACTTCCTGTGCCACATACAGTGATCATTGTATCTATTAAATTTCAGATTAGAACAGCTAATACTTAGAAATACTGGGATATCATCTATTCACTTTCCTGATGCTGGATTTGGTATGTAAAATAAGTAACTTATTTATAGTTTTAAAATTCTCTTTATTTAGAGTTTTCACTATTTTCTTGTTACTCTTTTCCTAGGATGCAAAACTAAAATGTTTCCTTCACTAAAACGCCTTGCAATAAATGAAAATAAAATATCACAGGTAGGTTAGATTGTGATGGTTTCACGTTTTATAAATAAATGCATCTTTAAGAATAACTTTTAAGTTTCCTTTTTTAAATTTTCTTTGATTTTATGTGTAAGATTGTGAGGGTAACTACTGAACACTTTGTTCAATACAGAGACATAGTTTAAAAATTTTAAAATATTTCTTAACAGTTAAAACACATTTATATAATGGCAGCTACTTTATAATTCCTATCACAGAATCTAATGATCTAAAATTCTGACTAATTCTTTGTTTTGTCTGACTAATTTCTGTTTTGGTTTGGTTTTTAATTAAATGGAGTGCAGATCTTTCCTTAGCTAAATGAACAGGATCCAAGAACTTGGTTCGGATGATCAAAAGAATTTTTCCAGTCACATTTGTTGTACAGGAAAAGTCAGTGTTACCCACTATTGTTCTGAAATGATGTTTTATATTTCCTCAAAAGGCTCTTCGCTTCCATTTCAGTGGTCATCTATCAATGAGCTTGATAAACTGCCAAGTTTGCGGGCACTGCAGTGTAACAATAACCCCTTCATGAACACAGAGAAGAACCCAGAGACCCTGATACAGCTCATTATTGCCAAGATAAGTCAGTTGGAGGTTTTGAACAACTGTGAGGTGTGTGGTATTTCAAAAAATTGCCTCACTGCCTGAGGAATTGTTTTCAGTTTCTTTTAAGATTATTGATTGTTTGGGTGCCCGAAAAGTAAAGTGCCAACCATTCCATCCCCTTGTCAGTGGGGCAGTCACAAGTTCAGTACAAGACTGAGCCCTCTTTGTGAGCATTGCTAACTTAGTGGGGACTTGGACAAGATGAGTCAATGGTGTTGTTTTCTCAGTGCCTGAATTGTGTTGAAGTTTCAGGACTGTTAACAAAAACTATACTCTTAAAAAAATAAAAAATAGAAAAAGCAGCATAGTCAGATCTGTTTTAGTGACCACACTACTAACATTTGCCTTCTGCAGTAGAAAAATATAATCCACACCAAATCAAACTTTCAGCAAAGGTTTATCATAAAGGAGAGCAGAAGCAGCATCTAATCCATTGCTACAGAAAACATCCTTGCATCATCATATACAGTAGAGTCTTTGCTTAGATATTCAATTATGGCTCAGTAAGTACAGAGAGGGGCTTTAAGACTCTTAATGGCTCTAAAATATACTGAATATATGAATCACTCAGTATTTGGAGACGTGGTTTGTAAGATTCTTGGTAGCACTGAAACATACTGAACACCAAGTAAAACCAAGGAGTCTGTGGCATTGATTAGATTTTATTGTCTGGAAAGTTATATAATTATATTATAAGTTATATAATTATATTGTATGCCAGTACAGATCCTTCCTGCTGAAAGAAGAGGAGCAGAGCTTGATTATCGCAAAATATTTGGAAAGGACTGGCTAGAAGCTGGTGGGCATTGGAACCCAGAGAAAAACAAACCAAGTGAAGAATTTCTTGCTGCCCATCCCAGATATCCAATACTTTGTCTTAGTAAGTACAAACAGAGTACAATAGCATTTCCTCACCTCTGGCATTGTGGAAGCACCGGGTTGGTCTGTTTTCAATTTCTCTTCCCCTTGGTGCTTTTTCCATGCTGCTACAGCCTTAGGAAAGCCCATGCATTGGCAAGCCCACGTGCCAGTGGGCTTCTGCACAGAACTGCACCCTTCAGGGCACTGCTGCCTCAGGAACATGGGCTCCCTGCCTTGGAGACCCCAGCACCTGTGTGCATCCATCCATTCAGTAGCTCTCTCAGCAGTGGGAATGTTAAGCAGCACATCCCTGTTCTGAATGCTGTAGCAGCTGGACAAGGCTCATGTCTGCAGCACTGCATGGTGCAGGAGCCACCACGTCTGTGCCAAGGGAACTCCTGCCTAATCCTGCACACAGTGGTCTTAGGTCTCGAGGTTTAGTCTTTGAAGGGTTCCACATGTGCTTTTCTTCCAACAGAATATGGAGCACCTGAAGAAGGAGAACTGAAGAGACAACAACCTTTGACTCTGAAAAATCAGCTCCTGAGTAAGAGGCCAGAAATGGTCAAAATTGTTCCTTCTGCATTTAGAATATTTTATGAGCTTAGTGTCTCCTAGGTGTATATGGAGAATAAAAAGTTCCAGCTTGTAATTTTGATCTTCTGAACTATCTCAGTGAGTGTGACTGGAAACCTGATTCTGTGTACTCTCTCTCATTTTCCCCCTCAACCCAAGCCAAATTATTTTCTCAACTAAGATTTCATGGAGAACAAAGGTTATTGATACTCCATTCTGACTGTGTGAATGGCTTCTTTACAGAAGACATCTCAGGTTTTAATCTCAACAGCTGCAGTGTTTTCTGATATTACCTTTTTTATTATTACTTCTTAACTTTAGGACAGACAAGAAAAATATGTGTAGCTTTGGTATTTGAGGCTGTCTACAAACTTAATCTAGCTTACATCCTCGACTTGCAAATTCATTTAGCTGTGCTTCCCACTTCATAGAAGAACTGAAACTTTTTACTCCATGGGCAAAATAGTATTTTCAAGCATTACATTTTAATGCATTTAGGGGGAAGACTAAATAGAACAAGGAATCTGGTTGGCTAGATATAACATAAAGCTTTTTTTAAGGATAAGTCTTTTAATATCTGTAAAATAATTAGGCTAATTATGTCCTTTAAAAGTCTTTGTATGGTGCTTTTGAGAGGACCAAAAACCTATTTTAAACTGAATAAGCAATTTCCATTCTACTGCAGGTTATTAAAAAAAAATTAAATAGAAATTAAGCATTTTTAGTTATATACTAATTTTGACCAAAAAATCCTACCTTTAAGAATTAGGAAGTCACTTCTACAATAATTTACCGAAGATGAATAAAAAACTTTGTTATTTTAATTAACTAATTTTTCAGATAATAACTATTTGCTATCTTAACTGCTGAGATGCAGGCTACCTCCCAGTTTTTGAGATCAGGCTGCGCTATGGGAAACAATTTGTAATAAAAACAGACTAGAAAGCTTCTGCCAGAACAAGGCTTATCATTCTTTCACTAATGCCTCATCCTTCTTCCTTAAGCTTTGACAATTAAGTGTCCTGAGAAACCTGAACAGAAGCCAGTGGAGAAAAAACTACCAGGTAAGAAGTCTTTGCTTATGTTCAAGCAGTTGTTTCATCACTCCTTTTCAAACAACTGTATTTAAGAATGGCAGCTTCAGAAACCTTTTCCTCTGTCACATAAAGAAATGACAAAAGAAGAAATAGTTTGAAAAAATCACTATTCTTCTGGCCTTCATACTTACTTTCAGTCCAGCTCAAAGATGGGAAGTTGATGCTTTGTCTGTCTTAGGACTTCTGCTTCTGGTTTCATAGTTAATGTGTCTGAGGCAATTAAAGGCCAATTAACTGGGCTGAAATCTGGTGGATGTGTTAACCAAGTAACTGGAACATGAAGTCTTAAGAGGCAACCGCATAGTGTGTAAATCTAAATACTGAGGTCTTGTATCTAATACATTAAAATTAGAAATCTAGTTCTGACCTCCATCAAATTTGTCTTTTGAAGTTTTAGAGCCTAGTTTTTTTTAGTTTTAGATACTAGAATGAATAAGATCATTCTAAATTAAGCTGATATTTTGAAAAGATGTGTCAGAATGAAGTCTGAGAGAAAATATGTATTCAAGCTTTATTCTAAAATAAAAATCACATTTATTATCACAAGTCGCATAAAATCAGATAGATACAGTTTTTACAAAAATGTTTGATAGAAAAATATTTGTCTAAGTAAAGTACAATGCGTGGTATTACAGGAGTAACTCGCTATTGCTGTGCCTTTAGATAAAGCTTCAAAAGAAGTGAAAGTTCAACCAAAATACTGAGTTTATCTATTGCAAACACAGGTATCACCTCTGGAACAAATTACATCTACTCATTCAAGATCCGTTACAAAAATACCCCTTCCTATAACTGACTTCATAACTTAAACAGCTCTGTTGACAATGTGTTTGGGACAAATAACTCAATACCATTCCTAAGAATGTCACTAGTTCCAGCATGCCATTTGCTTACTTGTGCTGGGAAAGCAAATTCCTGGTAATGAAAACGCAAGGAAGAGTTGCTAGATGCAAGTAGTCAGAACCTGTCTGGTATGTGTCCCAAAGGTCACTTAGTTTAGCATGTAGAAATACAAACTCAAAAAAGGTAAATTATGAAGCTGTAACACTTCAATTTGGCATAGGGGATCAAAGTGCTTAATCTGTAGTAGCACATCCTGTCCTGTCCACCACAAGTTAAACCATTTTCATTTGACAGTAGCAGATACTGTTTCAGATACCACAGACATTATTGAAATGTTAGAACTGAAGCAGCAATACAGCCTTTCACTGTTGCTACCTGCAAGTAAAGTGAAACACTGGTACTTTGCTACAGCTGAGTGGCAGCAACATTTTTCTAATAACTTTCCTTTCTCTCCCCCAACAGAGTCTATGACTATTCAGAAGGTCAAAGGACTGCTGTATCGCCTATTTAAAATTCCTGGCTCAGACCTGAAACTGTCCTACAAAAGTTCTAAAGTGAGTTAAAAACAGATATTGAACAACAAAATATTTCATGCTGCTAAAGGTCCATAGCATATGTTCTAAAATACTATATAAAGACATTTATTTCACTTGAGGAGAGCTGTCTTCATGCTGTAATTTAGGACCTAATTTCATGCCTGTAATATGACAGATTCTCCCTGACTGCAACTGCTTGCTATTTGGTTTACATGAAGGGATTTCAGTGTAAGTCTGATCAGTTTTTTTTTGCTTTCATATTCTAGTTGGAAGGAAAAGAAGTCGAACTAGACAATGACTTAAAGCCTTTGCAGTTTTACTCAATAGAAAGTGGAGACTGTGTGTTAGTACGATGGTAAGAAGGGACTCTCTTGCTGGACTGAAGGAAGAACTGACACAAGAACTGCAGAAGAGAGACAGACACACAGACAGCCTGTGCCTGAACAGACATACAGGTGAATATGAGTTTCACATACGTGGCACCAAAGGGCTGTACAATTGTACTTTCAGCTCCTCAACTTGATCATCAGCCTCCATGAAAACATCTGCTCCTTTGTCCTACTGGAGAGATACCAAATAGTGCTTAAATGCTTCAATTAAATAAAACTCAAGGTCACCCTTTTGCCAGGATTTTATACAGCCTGCCCCCAGCAGTGCGAAAATTTGTTTTACTGAACCAAGTACAGGGCTGAGTTGTGATCTCTTTGCTGACAAGACAAGATCAGTGCTGCACTGAGAGGCCACTTGCTCTTTGTTTTCACCTACATCTAACAACCTTAATGTGAACAAAACCCAGTAGTATTTTTAGAAGCATCTATCTTAGATGATTAGGGTCAAAATCTGCCAGACGTCCCTTCTATCCACATTATAAATAAGTTCTCAGCACACTGCAGGGCATTGCTATTTATTTTACAATCTTTAGCATGCTGTTCCTCAATCTTATTTTACTTATTTTACCTCAGATTCATATCTAGTCAGAGTGAGCTCTCAGAAATCCCTCCTGTATCAGGCCAAGCTTGCTGTACTTAAAGATTTGGTATAAGCAAACCTTGATTTTTTTTTTTTAATTTAAAATGACAATGGTATAAACAAACCAATCACATATCCTAACCCCCATTGCTGTCCCTGTTCCTGCACAGATGAGGGCAATCCCTCAGACAGCACAGAACCTGCTGCAGCAAGACTTACCAGCTGATGCTGGGCACAACTCTCCATGGGATCCTGGAACACCCTAGCAATCAATCAATCAATCGGTAGTGCTTTAATTTACAAAAGACAGGCTAGTTGGTGTTCTTATGTGCATTTATTAATTACAAGTAGGTCTTTGACTTTATATAAAAAGGATTTTGTTTTTTTTTAATCTTGAACATTTTGGTTTTTGTCTGATGAACATCTATACTATAGAAAATGAATTGTATCAGTCCACTTGTAATTATCAAAAGGGATGTGCAAATATTGTTATACTTTAGTTGAAACCCAGCATTAAAAGGTACCTTAATATTTCTTATTGTTCTGGGAATGAATCCAAATGTACACTTTTCCATGATCATTATACACTACCCTGTTTTCCAAGGCAAGCCCGTCATCTTTCCTCACATCTACATGGATCTCCACACAGTTCCTTTAATCTCCAGAGCTCTCCCAGCTCCTGGGGTGAGTACTGGGGGGAAGACAGCATGCCACTCTCACATGTCTTCTCACACAACCAGAGACCATCCTGTTAAGAGAGAGAAACATTTCAATAGGTTTTCTTAGAAAGTATATAGTCTCCAACAATCTTCACTTCCAAGAATCAGGTGCTTATTGCTTCTAGCAACAAACATTGCACACAAAGGTCCCAAAGTGATCTGCTAGACCTATTCAGAGAACCTGGGGGTAGGGATGGAGTCTGCAGGTTTATGGCAGTTTTGTGGTTTTACTTTTAAATATGTCTTTAAAATACTTTTTTCCTCTGGATTTTAATTCAATGGTTATTTCAATTCCTTTTTAAAGAAAAAGAAAACAAAAAAAAACATTTCTCCTGTTTTATGCTACTTGGAACAGCAGGCATCTCTTCTTTCTGTAAGGTCAGACAATTCCTTCAGACTTACTTGATATCGCTTGGGTCCTACAGCTGCCATCCAGATGCCCATGCTCACATCTTCACCCTGAGATAAAAATAAGAAATATAGATATGAGCACCAAGAAAGCAAAAAGCATAACTTTGACCTGGAATAAGTTGTATAATCTACCAGCAGGAAAGAATGGTAACTACAAAAACCTACGCCAGACTACTGCAGAGGTGTTAAAATAATCCTCCCACCTTTCCCATGACAATACATTGTTCTTACAAAAACAGAGTACAAAAAAACAAGATTACAGCTCTAGAGGTTCTCAGTCCAAAACATCTGAGCTTTGACCTAGAACAGGCACTAAGCACAGCAACCAAAAACATAGCAAAAGCCCACATTAGCCAGGAATACCCAATGCTAACACTTGAGCAATGTTCTGACTCACCCAGTACATGCTGTTACAGAAAAACTGAACTAATCTTTGTTACCTGGTATGTTTTTAATCTTTCAGAGTTGCTTGCCAGCCACTGCACAATGTCTTTGGAGATAACATAGCCAGACCCACAAGCAAAGGCTGGATATGCAGGACTTGGATACTCCAGTTCTTGCCATTTCCCAGTTCGATCAACTGCCCAATTTAGTCTGAAACTGAAGAGACCATGTTAGACATGAGATGTTTATAGAGAGTCCTTTGTGGAACCTATGAACACTGGTAACAACTGAAGTAATACTGATAGTGAATGATTGAGAGAAAGAAGTAGGTAATTCTAATTATAGCTCCTAGTCTTATTTCTCTAGGGCACAAAGCTAAAATTTTAACTGTTGTTTGGACTTAATTGGCCTGTCAATCTTGGATAATAAGAGAAAGTTTTCAAAACAGAAACAAAAGCAATATTGACAGTCAGATCTTCAGCATCTGCACCTTGTTGTTGGGTTTTGAACTAGGTAAGCACACACATCCTTACCTATTTTGTAACAAGCACATCTGTCTCCTGCTAATTAACCCCTGTGGTTAATCAACATGACACACAGGCAGTGCCTCCAGCAGGTATGCAGACAGCAATGGTATGCAACCCATTTTCCTGTTAAAACTAGTGGCTGCTTAAAAATCAGGAAGCGGTACATACCTTCCTCCTAAGCTGTTTTCCAAATGAAGCTCAACAAAGGAGATGTTCAAAGGCTGCCATCACTGAATCACAAAAGAACTCTTCCTGGCAGTGGTGTTCCCTAAGGCTTTATTCACTCCCAGAGGCCTGCAGGAAGCAGTCTCTGCACAGTCTCCCCACATGCTCAAAGTGTGGCACAGCTCACTGCCGCACTGTGCAGCCCTATGGACCCTGTCTAACTGCCCAGTGAGGCAGTGAAAGGCATCCTGCTTTCCCTCTCTGGGAAGAAGCTGCTGTTGCACTCCCCTGGCCTCACAAACACTTCATGCACTCACAGCTAAGAGACATAACTGTGTCAATGCAGCAGGGTCTCCCCATTTTACAAAGAGGTTCAGCATTGCTGATTTCCAGTCATGAGCACAAGCAGCTGAAAGCTTCAGTGAGCTACTAAGAACTGTCACTTCAAACAACAGCCCTGAAAGGGAGGAATTACAGCTGAGTCACAGATATGTTATTAGATTCTGCCCATTCTCAACTGAAGCTGACATGTTAAAGCACAAAGTAAATGAAAGTCTCATCTGATACCTGAATTCACTTTAGGCTCAATATCTTCTACTCCATTGAATACACAGCATGAAGGGCTGAACCCCCTTCAGACTGAGAAGCATCTACTTTGATAATCATTTTATATTTCCATAGTTATTTCAGTGTTGTTCCCTGCATGTCATACTTGCCTGACCTGAAGACTATTAAAGAACTTACAGTCAAAGATGTCTCTCCTACAGATCTTTGAGTTAATCACAAGATAACCAACTTTCACACACTTGACCACACACCTTATTAAATCACTTTATGTGTAAGCAACAGGCAGAACTAGATTTGTGAAGCAAAGCAGCAAAGGTCTGCTCTTCTTCAATGAGCAGAAGGCAACAGGAAGCCACATTATACCATTATGTTATATTGAATGCTATAGTAGCAGCAGAAGTGGGTAGCAATGCCTAAAATTTACAGATGTCACAATAAAGTGCAGACCAGAACAGAAATTTAGTTTCTCCTTTTTACCTCACTTCCTCAAGCCCACCAGAAGAATCACAGTGACATCATAAAAGTAATATTTATAGTTGTGCACTATGTACTTCCCTTATAATTTCACTGTATTGCTGGAAAATTCTTTTTTACTTAAGCACCATGACAAAGATGCCTATAACGCATTTTAAAACCAGGTAAGATATTCAGCAAGTTTAAATCACTGTAAAGGCATACCCTGGAAATTTACTGTATTTCAGATTCTGAGATTCAAAGATCTAACACATACAGAAGTCCTGCTTTTTACAGCTGGCTTCCTTAGGCATAGAAGAGAAACCACTTGAAGGTAATTTTGAAAAACAACTTACTTTCCCCACCAAATGTTTGGCCTGTCCAATTTTTTCTGCATTATCCTGTTAAAAACAGCTTCCAAATCAATGTAACAGTCATCATCAGTCTTCAGCAGCAAGTCAAAACTTGTTGATTCCACTGTCCTGTAGCCAAAATGAAAAGTGATGAGACATGGAGCTGCGCACCACAAACTACAGACAGCAAGCTCTGCAAGGGTTTTTTTGGGATGTGGGGATGAAGCAAAAGGGAAGGAATGTCTTTGCTACCCTTGACTTTTAAATGTTTTCTCTATTGACCAAGGCTGACTGCTTGTCCTTCAAAGGAGATGCAGCTGTATCCTATGATGATCTTACAACATGGACTTGTGTATGAGCGGAAGAAATCAAATTTGAAGTTTTGTTCCCCAGGACAGATGGTGGATTTACTAGTGAAGCCATCTTAAGCAGTATTGACCTCAGAAGGATATGAATCCCTGATGCTGATGGCAGCACAGCTGTTAAAAGCCACTGGGTACACGTCAGTAGCCTACTTTCAGGACGAGACAGTCAGTTCAAGGGCAATGAGAAGGTCATAGGTGATAAAAAACATCTGTGGAAAGAACTCTGTGCTTACTCTGTCTCTGTAAATACACCCTTCAAACATGAAAAATGTTATCCTTACCTGTCTGAAATAGTTGAATGTGACCCATATAAAATAACCAAAAAAGCTTAAGATTCTAGGGATCATGGCTGGCTGGTCACAAACGTTTGTAAGGGTAACTTCTTATAACAAGCAGGGTATTTTTAAAAGCCTTTTGTTACTAAATCTTGAAAAATTGCTAATCTGTAAGAAATTAACACAAAGATCTAAGTCTTGATGCAAACCTCCTTTTAGACCTGAAAGCATGGTTCAGTTTTTCATTTGCATTCATAGCCATGGAATTTGTGAAGTGCATAATCTTGCAAGCAACTAAAACGAATTTTGGTTAAATTACAACTGCCAACTGTATTTTTTACTCCACAGCAGCATCAATTAACTGAAACAGTTGTCTCAGAGTAATGGAAATCACTGGAAATTAGAGGTAGAAACTAAGTAGATTCACCCCAGACAATGCAATTACACTATGAAAATTCTTCCTATCAACCTTCTGTCTCCCCTGTACACAAGCTTCCAGTCCTTCCCCTCCTCTCAGCACTGGTGTGGCCACATCTGGACTACAGTGTGCATTCTTAGACTCCACAGTACAAGAGGGACAGGGCCATACTGGGCAGAGAGTCCAGCAAAGGCCCATCAAGATGATTATGTGACTGGAGCAACAGCCACAAACTGAAACATTGAGTAAGTATTCAAACTGGCCAAAAGCCATCCTTTAAAATACTTAAACTGCTAGTTTTCAGTTTAAGAATTAAAATAAATTAAAACAAATTAAAAGAAATCACAAGGAGAAATGAAAATTTTTACACCTGGACTCGTAGAGCAGAAGCCTGTCTTGCTAGCTTGTGCTGATTTGAGGCACCAAGGGTCAGCATTCAAAAACCTATAGGCACTGCCATTTTACTCACTACATGCACCCAAAATTGTGAGAGAGAAATACAACTTAATGAAGTAAATCACATAAGGCATGTATTTCATGGAACCTGTCAAATAACATAATGCACTACAAACAGCATTCCTAAGAGAAAGTAAGAAAATACATTCTTTTCAACTTACCATCGGTAGAAGTTCAGCAGTTTGGAGGGAACATTTCTGTAAGTGTCAATGACATCTACAAAAACAATGTCATCATACATACTACTTTCTTCCTTCAATAAAGCATCTTCTTTCTCGAGGCTTTTTATGTGGCTTGTAAACCTTTCTGGGCGAGTATGGAGGCTTTTTAAAAGGGCATCCCCTTCTGAAAGAAACAGCACCCATTATTAAAAAAGATGCATATCTACATATTATTTCACATTTCTCTTGGATCATACAGGGCACACATTGACAAAATGAATCTGAAGAAGCATTCAAATAGTTTGGGTTATGAAAATCCTGCAATTAAAAATTTCTACAAAATTTCTACAAAATTTTTGAAGTTGCGGAACAACAAAGAAATATATTTTTGTATAAGGCCTGGCACTAAAAGTTTAAGAGGAAGTATTCTCGTCCTCTTCAGTAATAAAAGAACTCAACTTTTTAAGGTTCCTTAATATAAAAAACAGTCTGGGACTTCACTATTACTCTTACTGTAGAGTAAAAAGGCCACTGTCAATTACTCCTAAGTATATGTATCTAGCATAAAAAAATAAACACACAAAAAACCAAACAATGCTATGATAAATATAATCAAATAGGCATTGCTTTGATGTAGCACAGATGGTCCCTGCTGAACCACATCACATAACTGCAGGTAAAAGCTAAAAATATATTGCAGATAAGGAGGCAGTTTGTGGTACTGAAGAAAAGTTTGACAAACAAGATGGAAGGGCTTTAGCACACACCTCAATTCAGGCTCCTACACAGATGACAAGACAACAGGACTGCCCAATTTTATCTGCCAGGCCTAGCTACAAAAACACAGCCATAACACTCTCAAAGTCAATGGTTATGTTGGACCAATGAGAACACATTGATTCCAGTGCTATGTGGCCAAAATCTTAGAAATTGGAAAGGGCTCTTAGAAAATCTCTGAACATTCTGCTGACATAGGTGTAAAAGAGCAACAGGAATGGAAACTGTTTATCCATATTAAACACTGTGATGCAGTACCTCTAACTGCAGCAGAACTGGAAAAAAGTGAAAAATATCAGGGAAAGATTTCATTACATGACATTTTTAACTTAATTTTGGGTAACAAAGAACAAGAAGAGAGTCTAGATAAAAAGCCACAGGGATGCAAGTCAACTGGAGTGGCTGACAAAAGGCAAGCAAAGGAACCACATCAGGACATTGACTTTAAGCATAAAAGAGCCAGGAAAAAAATGTTTCTACTAAAAGAAAACCTAGGGTGACTAAATTCATGGAGACAGCACAAATTATACTCAGAAGTGTAATTTAAATCACCTATTTTACCATAATATCAAATGTCATGCTAAATTTTGTGGACTTACCTTGAATAGTGTAGATAAAACCACCTGCTATTCCCTCCACACCTTCTGTGAGTTCATGTGGCAGTGACCCTTCCCCTGCCTGTTAGGAACAGATTAATTGAAATTAATAGATTCATTCATCTCTCATTATTGATGTGTTTTCCGTCTGATTTTAAGGTGTGAAGTTTTCTGGAAACTAAGAATGAAATTAATTTAAAGCTCTGCTGGTTCAGGCACTTGCATAATCACAGAATCACAAAACATCCTTAGCTGGAAGGGACCCACAACAATTACTGATGTCCAACTCCTGGTCCTGCACAGGACCACCCCAAGATTCGCACAATGTGCCATGAAAGACTAAGACTAAGATTTTTAACTAAAGTTTTGCGGCATTTTTTTAAGTTTCATCCCAAACTAGCAGTACCACTGAAACTTTCAGAAACTAGTTTCGAAGTTGACAGCAAAATTATTCTGGCTAAATTACAACGACACAAGATGTTTAGGCAAGCAACAATTTGACACAAAAAGAGACGGTGCTAAAAAGCAAATATTCAGACTTTATCCCATCAGTTGGGATTCTACCAGAAGATTTTTCACCCACATTTTGCCATTTCTGATACACTGGTACTGCTTCCCATTCTGAATAAAACAATAAGAGCTTTACTCCCCTCAAAATAAAATGCCACTCACAAGCCTATTTTTTTTTTTTGTAAGAAGGCAAAGCAAAACTTCTTTTCTGAGATAAAAGGACAAGCCCCACTGAATTTATGATTTACACAGAGAAATACAGGAAAGTAAAATGCTGAATTCTCAACAGTTATAGGAAAAATAGAAACATGGTGGAAAGGAAGGTGAGGGGACTCACTGTAATGACTCTGAAAACACCTCCTCCATCATTCACCATCACTTTATGAAGGTTTCTTGAAACCAAGCCCTGAAGATCCTGGCTCTCCCACACAATGGTACCTTCAAAACTCTGGTAAGAGAGCAAAATACAGTTATGCAGGTATACAAAGACTTAAAAAAATGAAAGTCCAACAGTTTGGGCTCATTAAAATTATTTTAAAATAGTCAACTTCATACAAGATTTAGCTTGAGTGAAACATAAATGTTTCACTTACACTTCAATAAAAATAAACTACACATAAATGAAACACATCCGTGAAACTCAGTAACACATAGTAATTATTTTAAAACTAATCATGAATCTCTATATTGAACTTTTAACAGAAGCCTAGTGTAAAAGACTTTGGCTTTCTAAAATCATCAAAATAGCATTTAAAGGTGACCTGAAGTGAATTTTTAAAAATCAAATATAAAATCCTGCACTACAAAGAGAATACGTTCAAACAGATTTGGAAACAAGCTCAGCTTTTATCGTTATCTGCCAAACAGAGATCAGAGACTGGATCCTGACACCAGCAAAACTCAAAGAAAAATACGGCCACCTTTATCGCAGTAAAGGTGTCACAAGCTACTGTAGGACTGACAGAAGTCTTATCTCACATCTTGGCTGGTAAGGAAGAAAAAGGCAAGTGAATAGCTTCAAAATTTTCTGGTTTTAACAGTCAAATTAGGCTTTGCCACTCCATGTTTTACATATATGTATATATATGTTTATG